GAGCAGAGTAAGAGAGAGAGAAAAATTCGAGGCGATCAACAACAACAACGACACAATTTAAGCTATCATTGAATATTTTTAACATCGACGAGCAGTTTGGCTCATCTGTTTTGTACGAAAAATGTCACATAATAAACGTACAAAGAAAAAAAAATAATAATGAGTAATTTTCGCGCGCTCGTCGCTGGTGGTGGCTATTTAAACGAGATAGAGAGCCGCGAAAAGCGAGCGTCAACAATTCTAAATTTAATTCCCGCAAAAACTATATTCACACGGCACATTATGCGAATAATTTTCAGCGCCAGCGAAGTTTGTGCCGCGTGGGTGTGTGCGCGCGTGCGGGTACGGTTCGCGTTCGCAAGCTCGTAACAATTGCGTTGATAAAACGAAAAAAAAAAAAAAAATAATAACAACAAATGGGAAAGAAGGAAAGAGAAGAGAAAAAAAATGAGTCGCCGCGGAAGTACACACACACGCGTCCGATAATTGTATTACACACACGCGCGGGTACGCCGATGCGGTGTTTAACGCGCGAATGTGCATACAAACGTCGAGTACGTTCGCTATTATGCACGTACGCGTCGCGCGCGTTAAAGTGCGGGGGAGCGAGATAATAATATTTGTGCTTTTTGCGCGCTTTCGAGTTCTGTATATTATACATACAGCGCGAGGTACGCATAACGCTATGTAGACGCGTATAGTCGAGCTACCGTTGCTGCCATATGGGGGAGGAGGAGTGGGAGGAGGAGGAGGAGGAGGAGGAGGATGATGATGATGATGAGACGAGGTGGTGGATGGAAAATGCGGGCGGACTACGCGTCGCGCGCGACGGAAAGAGTTAAACTGGTTCAAGTTCGAGGTAAGGAAGCAGCGGCAGCAGTGACGCGTTTCGTTCCGAAAATTTTGACTATCCTCCAAAGCTCCGCGAGCTCGAGAGAGACCGAGGCTAAGTAAGCACCGGCTGCTGCTGCTGCTGCGAGCGACAGCTTCATTTTCAGTTATTATAGAGCGTATATACTACTGCTATATCGGTTGTTTTGCTATGAGAGCAGCAGCAGCGGCAGAAAAGCTCGCGAAAGCTCGAGCGTCGATCGGGTTACGAAATTCGAGCTATAAGCTAACGGACGACGCGACACGATCGATAAATACGATTTTTATGTACAAAATAGCCCAAAATCAAACTCTGGACTGGAGCTTCTCGTGTGTATTATACTTCGTAACAGAGGGGAGAAAAATAACGGATCGATCGCGCTCGCGAGACGTAAGGCCACAAATATGCGCTCGCCTCGCGCGCGCGTTTACATCTAGATAATATAAGATTTTTCGACACATCTCGCGAGGAAGATACGAGCCGCCCCCGAAGCGCGGGAGACGCAATTAGTTCGCGGCGCGATTTCGAAGGCGAATGTTCAAAAAAAGACACGCTCACGGCGATATGCTCGGTCACCGACGTTGCTGAGAGATGACGAATCTGCGCGGATGGCCGCAAAAGCTCGCATAAGATATACACAAAAAAACGCGACTTTTTGAATATAACGCGTGTCGATCGTTATGACACAGGGGGACTGATTTTTTTCATCCATAACGACAACTGCAGAGCTTTTCTTTACGTTAAACGGGGCACGCCGATTCGAAATTATGAAATCGGTCGCCGAGATCCGCGGCGAAACGAAATGTAACTATAATATATGTGTCACGCATACTACTCGCGCATATTTATGCACGCGGCGTTAGTCTCGAGGTTGGACGACTACTTTTCGCACAAACACACACACGACCAGCACTTATTTGCCTGGTAATCTCGTTTTCTTGGAAATATTCTTTATGGACGATTGAAATAAATCGATCATCTCTCGTTCTCTCATCGTCGTCGAGTTATTATATAGAACGACGCGCAAGGCGCAATATGATATAACCGCGTTTGCGATTCGGTTTCATAATTCGTGATGTACGATGGATTATTTGCTCGTCGATAAATAATACGCGCGGGGAGATAAGATTCGATCGCTGCGGCTATCGAGAGAGTCGTAGTGGTGTATCGACGTAAATGCGGTGAGCTTGCGCGACTCACGGAGCGATCCGCTCGATCAAATCTCAGTTCAAGGATATGCTTTGAGAAATTAGACGATTGATCGAGCCCCGAATGGACGATTCATCCCGTGATACGCATAAATCAGTAGGAATTTTCATCCGTCGCAAGCTCCGAACTTTCGATCGCGTTACAATTGCGAGTCGATTGTAGCTAACAAACCGATCGTCCCATCGAATCGCGCGCGCATCGTTTATAGCGTGTGTGATTTTTCGCACTCGACGCACCGAACGATAATTGCTCCGCGCGCGCTCTCGACATCGTATATAAGACGACGACTATGATCTCTCCCAGCGCGCGAAGCTCGTCGCAAGTTACACGCGGCCCTGTATCCATATCCCACACTCTCCATTCTCCGCTGCCGCTGCTCTCTTTCTCGCTCGCTCGTTTTCTCTCGCTACGCTATAGCGTCGTGAAGAGCTACTACTAGTGCTACTGCTGCTGCTGCACGTATTTCAACGCGCTTAGTACTATATATGTCGTTCTTTCTCTCTCTGTGCGAAAGTCACGCACAAGCCCACGGGGTTTTCTATAAATAAAGCACCGAGGAAAAAAGTCGGCAGAGCCGCGCCGATCGCAGTGGTAGCAGTAGAGCTCGAATTCACTGCTGCTTAAACACACACACACACACACCCAAAAAGTACTCGTGAAAAGGAGCGCGAGAGAGAGATGTATATTTACAGCTGATTATGTACTCTATACCGAGAGCTAAGCGATAATCGCGCGGCGTCACGCTGCGAGTAACCGTACAAAAAGAATCATATCGGTATCGATACCCTATACTCATTTCGAACAATCGATGCGGCATACCACACGGAGAGCTTTCCTTCCAAAACTTGCAAGTACGTATAGAGGATAGTTTGCACGTGCTATAAAACGTACAGATTCGAAATCGAACCGCACGAAGGGGCAATGAAAAGCAGTTGCAGCAGCAGCAGCGCGAGAGATTATCGACACGCTCTCGTGGGACTCTGTGATTCACCCGCACACTGCTATATTCACTGCACACCGAGTACTCGACACGAGCACGCTCCCCGCTCGCTTAGTTGCTATGTAATCGGAATTCGAGATCGATTAGTCATTCGACGCGACGATTCCGCTCGCCACACACACACACAGACAGCACAGACATGCCTTTTATCGATTTGCAATTAAGTGCGATCACCTCGATGATTAGCGCGCGGATTGACACATCTTTATCTCGATAATTTGAAGATGTTGTTTTTCTTCTTGCGCGTAATGAGATCGATTAGCTGCGTGCGACGAATTTGGATGTTCGTCATACTCACGAAGTACTTTACGAAAAGCTCCGAAAATTGTATCTCGCGCACGTGGATTATATAGACGTAAATCCGAAGCCCAGAAAAAAAACATGTTTACTAACTAAAACTAAATAAGAACAAAAACGGTAATAACGGACAAACAGTATAGAAACAAAAAAACGAATAGTGGTAACAAAAGCTCTTCGCGATCGAGACTCGATATTATTAACCGAGAGCGAGGAAGCGCCGCGCGACGATACGCGAGTTTTTCGGCATCGAGAGAAATCGGTCGATGCCTCCTCGCGATCGGTACACGTAATCCCCTTCATTTGAACGAGTGCATAAAAATCGAACAATGCGTGTGACCCAGGAATGCGTGCCAGCCGAAAAATCGATAAGTCATGATCGAAGCCACGGCCGTAATCGGTATTTTTTTTTGTTCATTTTTCGTAATACAACGTCGTCGCGCGGCAATCCGTCATCAACATCACGCACCGAAGAGACACGCATATCTCTCTTACGATACAACACATAATAATAATAATGATCGTCGTCGTTTGCGTTGTCGCGAGGCCTCGTGTCGACTTTCATTATATACATTATCATGGATTTATCGCCTTTTTAGGTTGTACGAGAGACGTCGTCGTTCGTACACCAGCGCGAAAACGCGAAGCCTCTCTGCTCTCTCTCTCTCTCTCTATATATAATACACGCACTCTCGGCAGTAGTGTATGTGTATGTGTTGGGCTCTCTCTCTCTCTCTCTCTCTCTCGATATATCTGCGCGCGGTGTGGTATATATATACGGCAGCCAGCGACGCTCTTACATATATACAGTACATATGAAAGCTAAAAACACAAGAAGAAGAAGAAGTCTTAGCGCGGCGGCGGCGAAAGAGAGAGAAAGAGAGAGAAAGAGAGAAAGAGATCTCTCTCTCACTCTCCGCTGTTTCTGCGCGCGAAGAAGAGAGGTGGGCTCCGCTTCTCTTCTCTCTACTTCTTCTTCTTCTTCTTCTTCCTCCGTCGTCTTCTTCTTGCTGCTCGCTACAGCTCTGCTATATACGATATATATATATATACCATAACGTCGCATGCCTCCTCTTGCCGCGCTGGGCAGACTATATCCAGCCAGGGTGCTGTGCTGAGTGCTGCCCGAGAGAGCTACATAGAGGAGCACACACGCATAGGCATCGGCCTAGAGTACATATATAAGAGAACAGCGGCGGCGGCGACTATCCGTGCTTTCTCTTATATACCAAGAGAGGAGCGCGCAGATCTTCGTACTATCTCTACTACTACTACTACTGCTACTCTCGCCAAAGTCTCTCCTATCTCTGTCTCTTTCTCTATACACACTCGCGCGCGCGACGCCTAAATACGCGACGGCAGAACTAGGCCAAAACCGCAAAAGCCAGCAGTATACAACACAGTATATCTTTTTATCGGCAGTGAGCAGCAGCAGCAGCAGCAGCAGCAGCAGCAGTAGTCGCAGGGCCCACAGCTGAAACGACAACAACTACGGCAACGACGACGACTACGGGGTTGATCTGTGTCTGTGTCTGTGTTACTGTGTGCGTGTGTGCAGCAGCAGCAGTGGAGCAGCAGCAGCAGCCGCCGACACTCGAGGAACAACAACAACAACAACGACAGCAACGCATCGGCTCCGCATTTTACTTTTTATAATATAATTATAAAAAAAAGCTACGGATATATATATAACGTAAACACAGCGGGCAGGCACTGCAGACGTTTTTTATCATATATATATCCCAACATCGGAGGAGCGAAGACGACGACTACGACGACGACGACGAGGCAGAGAGTGCACGGATATAGATAAAATTTTTATATTTATTTTAAATTAAAAATTCGCAATGTCGTTTCGCGTGGTCAGAAGCAGCAAGTTCCGCCACGTCTACGGCACGCCGCTCAAGCGCGAGCAGTGCTACGACAACATCAGAGTGTCCAAGTCCTCCTGGGACTCGACTTTCTGCGCGGTTAACCCCAAGTTCCTTGCCATAATCGTCGAGTCGGCCGGAGGCGGTGCCTTCATAGTATTACCACACAATAAGGTGAGCGAGAGAGGCGCGCGCTTTTTTTCTTTTTTTTGGGCTTAGCTTTTTTCACTTTATTTTGTTTTCATCTCATCCCCCTCGTGCTAACCCCCTTCATCCCTCTTAGAGGTCAATAACGAATCTGCATTGAACTCTTTAATTGGTAACAAAAGCTTTTATTTTAATTTTCATGACTCATTGCCCAAGCTTGACTTACTTTCTTTTCTGTCTGGTTCTCTGCCATCTATTTTTGGAATTTAAAAACTCTTCTTCTTTGCTTGATCGTCTCAGGTTGGTCGAATACCAGCTGATCATCCTCTGGTGGGTGGCCACAAGGGACCGGTGCTCGATATAGCATGGTGTCCCCACAACGACAATGTCATTGCCTCGGGCTCCGAAGACTGCGTGGTGAAAGTTTGGCAAATACCCGATGGAGGAATATCCAGAACACTCACAGAGTCTGTGGTGGATCTGCAGCTCCACCAGCGCAGGGTGGGCCTGGTGCTGTGGCATCCAACGGCGCTCAATGTTCTGCTCACAGCCGGCTCGGACAATCTAGTTATTATATGGAACGTGGGTACTGCGGATGCCATGATAAAAATAGACTGCCATCCTGATGTTGTTTACTCGGCATGCTGGAACTGGGATGGTTCCAGACTAGTCACCACGTGCAAAGACAAAAAAATCAGAATTATTGAACCTAGGACAGGAAACGTTTTGGAAGAAGCTGTTGCTCACGAGGGAAGCAAAGCTACGAGAGCTATATTTTTGAGGTATGACACAATTCAATATCAAAAAATGTTCTTAATGTTGTGAAATAACTTTAATTTTTGTGTATTTAATTTATTTAGGGGTGGTCTCATCTTTACAACAGGATTCAGCAAAATGTCAGAGCGACAGTATTCTTTGCGAGCACCAGATATGCTTGCAGAACCTATAACCATGTTGGAGCTTGACACCAGTAATGGAGTCATGTTTCCTCTGTATGATCCTGACACAAACTTAGTTTATCTCTGCGGAAAAGGAGACTCAGTTATTCGCTATTTTGAAATAACTCCTGAACCTCCATTTGTTCATTATATTAATACTTTCCAAACACCTGATCCTCAAAGAGGAATTGGTATGATGCCTAAACGAGGATGTGATGTTAATAGTTGCGAAATCTCAAGATTTTATCGACTGAATAATTCTGGTTTTTGTCAAGTAGTTTCAATGACTGTGCCAAGAAAGGTATTGTATAAAATTTTATAAAAGACCATTCATTTCTAAATTTCATTAGAAACATAAATTAAATATTCACAAATACTTTTTTGCAGTCTGAACTTTTCCAAGAAGATTTGTATCCTGATACTCCAGGAGACACAGCAGCAATCACAGCGGAAGAATGGGAAGCCGGTCAGGACGCAGAGCCTATTTTTATTTCATTGAGAGATGGATATCAGCCCACTTCTTCCAAAAACGATCTTAAAGTTCAAAAGAAGACAAATATTTTAAGTAAAGCAAAAGTTGGTGCTAATTCAACGAGTGCAGGTCAAGCAGCATCAGGTCCTCCTGTAAGTGTCATTTATCGTCAATTTTCGCGTAAATCGCGAAACAATTTGATTTGTAAAATATTAGATAACTTATTTCAATATTTCATTTGCAGGATGACGTAATTAAAGAGTTTGCTGAAGAAATCAGAAAACTTAAAGCCATGATCGTGAAGCACGAGGGTCGCATCCGAGTTTTAGAGTCTGCCGTAGCCTTACAAATGAAAGAGCAAGACAGAAACGAGAAGTCTTCCTCGCCTGTCGATACTAAAGATTCACTAGCTTCCGATGAAGTCTGATCTTATCAAGTAAATATTGTAATAGGCGGTTATATTTTTATATCCTCTTTACACCACGGCAAAACAATTAAAATGTTAAATACATAAAAGTAGAACGTCCGTACTATATTTTGATAAATCGATAGTTGTGTATATACTAGGTAACTTAGCGTATAGGAGCGTGCTTCAAAATCATTTTCATTTAGTGTCTTATAATTAATACCTGTGTACATTGTGCGCGTCTATTTTTTTTTTGATCGTCCTCTTAATTTTCTTCTGTTTTTTATTTTTGTCGTTTATTTCAAATTCTTTTATCCGATTTGTCCTTTCTCATCTACTGCATATTCACATTTTTGTAATCTTATACATGAATTTACCATAAATAATAATAAATCGAATCACTCATCGTTACCTGTTAATAGGATATTTACGTTCATGTTAATTCATATTAGTGTTACAATGTTATTTTTTGAGATTTTCATGTACATGAGTGTGCTATAACTGCCTCAAAATTTCCGAGGTTCACATGAACTTTTTGCATAAGAACAGAAACTGAAGTGCCTTATAAGAAATTGTACAGAAAAAATCTTTTGTAAAATAACAAATCTAACAAGTGGTTGTTCTCTATACTGATTTATATAACTTGACTTTACAAGCCTGTTATTAATAAAAAAAAAAAAATTAACTGTTGTGAATTGTCATATAATATTTTTAAATTATAAATAAAATAAATTTAAGATTGTCAAATTGTAAGTTTTAAATGCGTTTTCTTGATTAAAAATTAATAACGAGTCTTTTTGATTCAACTGGTTGAAATATATGCATATTCAATATGTTTTAATATAACAATTCATGATGCATCAAAAATTTTCTTCCTTTTGTCTTTCGTTAGAAACAAATGGTTACAAAAAAAAAAATAATAAAGCGAATAAAAAATAACAACGAACAACGATTTTGATTCTTTTATTACGAGCCCAAATCATCATCTCTGTGAAATATACGCATTGAAATTTCTACCATATTTTAAGCCAAAAAAATAAGTAATGTGACAGTCAAGAATTCGATTGCTTGTTACACTGTACAGTATACGCACAGACGACAAACCTGCGGTTTTGCCTGCTCCGCTGCTCCTGTACCGATGCGAGTGGGCACAAGTGTGAGGTGAGATCTAGCGCCGAGCGGCTGATATGTTTGTGCTACATACGTCACCTGTAGCAGCTGTCATCAACAAAAATGTTCGGTTTTAACATTTTCGTCCTTATCGTGGGACTTGGAGCCATTTATTCAAATGTCAATGGTTATCCTGATAAGTACGAAGTTAAAGGTATGAGAAAAAATTTAAATACTTCGTATTATTTTTATATTTATTAAACTTTTTTGAAAATAAAAAATTTTTTGTTGAATATCTTCACATATCAGATAATTTTAATTTTTTAGATGAAAATACAAATATGAAAATTGATCTGATGGATGTATTGAAAAATCTCAATGAAAATCATGGAAAGCAGTTTAGTTCATCTAACTCTGATGATGATTGGACAGGACGTTGGATGCCTCAAAGGCCAGGAGAGTACACACCACCTCCCAAAGTGTTTCATAAATCTGAAAAGCCTGAAAAGAGCAGTGAGAACTGGGATGGTAAATGGTTACCTAGTAAACCTGGTGAATATCAAGCACCACCCAAAGTGTTTTCCAATAAAACTTCTAAAGTAGATGAAACTTCTGATAATACATATGTCCCCATGGGTGTGAAAAATCATATGTGCGATGATGGAAAGGTAATACTTTGATTGTTTAAGTCTTTCTTTATTATTCAATAACTTTTATGATGTACTTTTAGACAAATTTAACTGTTGACTGGGATCACTCTTCGACAAGTCATACATGTTATGGACAAAAAACAGTACCTGATTTTAAAGTAAAACCCAATTGGTATTGTGAAACAATTCCTAAATTTTATATGGTAAATAATTGCATTATCCTTGCATAAATTTATTTTTTGTATTGAACAATCCTAAATTATAAAAATTTTGTTTAAAGGCAGCTCATAAATGTATGACAGAAAGAATTGAATATGTAGATGACATTCCACTTTAGTAAGTATTGTTCTTTTCTATTTTTCAATTTCAATAGATAATTGAAAATATTTATATAAATATAATTGCTGCAGTGGAACTCATCGTCCTATATGGCCTGTTTATGGAGAATACAAGTACTTACCTGTGCAAAGATGGCTCCATAGCTTAGAGGTAAATAATCTAAAAATTTGAAATAATTTGATGTATTTTGTTAACGATTTGCAATTTATTTTTAGCATGGAGCAATAGTTATGTTGTATCACCCATGTGCTAATAAAATGGAAGTAGAAAAATTGAAAAAAATTGTGAAAGGCTGTCTTCGTAGACATATAATAACACCATACAATTTACTGGATGATGACAGAGTAAGTTGTATAAATATTTTTTTCCAATTTTCAATGCCATTTATACATGAATTTTTTTTATTCAGCCCTTAGCATTATTGAGTTGGGGATGTAGATTAACCATGTCACACGTAAATAAAAATATAGTAACACAATTTATAAGAGAAAGAGCTCTACATGCTCCTGAAAATCAAGTGTATGAAGATGGTGAATTTGAAGACCAATTACTGGAAAAAGCTAAAGTGATATCAACTCAGGAAGATACACAAATATGCGCTAATTTGATGTAATACTATTGACACAGCCATGATAGCCTTGATACTCACTATCAGTACTTAAACATATCTATGCTTGTATATATTTATTCATGTTATCAAACTGTGATTGTTATTTTATACCAAATCTAATTCTATTTAAGAAATTGTAAACTATCCATTTACTTTTTCTAATATTAACATATGTTATGCTTTAAGACAAAGAAGAGAATGTTGCAATGATGTACATAGCAAATTATTAATAAGGCAAATTACCTTGATATTAATAAGAAAGTGTGCATTGAAAAAAATATTAGATTTACTAATAATTGATCTGAAGATGAAGTATCTCATTTTTTCTACTTTTTATTTATAATATGAATAATTATTGTTCAAATGATTTAAAAGTGCAATATAGTTTAAAATAAAAATATTAGATTGAAAAATAAAAGCAGTTTATTCAGAAAATCTATACTGATCTTTGTTATTCTATATCCTAGAGTAGATAGAAAGGAAATATTTACGTAAAGAGAATTAAATTGCAAAATTTGACAAACTCAAAATAAAATAACAACTTTAGTCAACAATTCGAGGTAATTGAAGAAAATAATGAAATTTAATTTCATCATATTTTTCATTTTATTCGAGAGAAAATGTACATTAGTCACCCGACGAGAGTACGAGATATTAATATTCATAGGCAGAAAACACCGTTGATTTATTTAGATAAGTTCATCATTAAATACAGAATTCTTATAATTATCTTATGAACTTGTTTGCTATTTTTTGTCTCTATGAAATACCTACAATAAAAAGTATTCGTAAATTTTTTCACTTTTCTATTTACGGTACGCACTGTTTTTTTTTTTTTAATAATATTATACGCTTGTTCTCTTGCTTTAGTGATTTAATTAATAATTATATAGCTCATTAAATATAATCTCACTTTGTCGCATGAAATTCACTTGTGTGGGCTTTCTTATTTTTTTTTTACTTTTTTTTTCATAAAATTTTTGTATTAGTTAAAATTTTTTTTTCACTTTTTGCCTCGTCAATTGTTTTTTTTTCAAATTTTTTTCATTATTTATCTCTAAACACTTTTTTTCAATCTTATGATTTAGCTGAAAGTGGAATTGACACACATAAGGTATTATTAAAGTAGCTCGTCTCATTGCATTCGTGTCACACCGACCCATACATATTTTTTATTTTTTTTTTTTATTTTTGACATTTCAGTATGTTAAGCAATGTATACAATTTTTTTTTCAACAGACATTTGGTAAAATCGTATAATTGTGATAAGATTATTCGGCTATCATTCGAACTAAACGGACGCGTTTTGATAAGTCAAGTCAGCATACAAAAACTCGTAAAAAAAGTATTCACAGAAACATTCGGAAATGAAACATTTAACTTTTTAAGCCTTCAGTAAGAGTCATTCAGATTCATTAAATTAAACTTTTTTTCAAGGAAAGTATATTACAACATTAAATTAGGTGAACAATCAACAGTGAAATGCAGCTTCAATGCACATACAAATGTCAAGTTCAAAATAAAATATCGACAAAGTAACCAGTGGATACAGCGTACACATACATTATTGGAATTTTTTTCTATCTCGATTTATTTCCATTTCATTTTATTTTTTTTTGTGTATTTTTCGTTTCATAATATCCCTCCCTGCATTTACGAGCGGTCCGTGAATTTTCATATATCGAGTTCGTATATTATTATCTACAAAAATGCAGATGAGTTCAGCTTTTGTTTTTGTTTGTTTATTTTTTTTTTATCGAAGCAATTACTATCCAAGTAGATGGACATAACAATAGAAGTTTATTAGTCGCGTGCTCGCTCGAGTGCACACAGTGTGTGAGGCAACATTTATATTAAATGTTCATGATCTCTTTTGTTTTCTTTTTTCTTTTTTTTTTCTAGTTTTAATTATCGGTGTGAAAAATTTGCTTGGTTTTGTTTTTTTTTTGTGCCGAGGTTCGAACTCTACGCGCACTAATGTTTTTTTTTAAGTCTTTGGCATTAAAGAATCGAGAAGAAATCCTTGCGCTTTTGCAAGCATAGATCCATACGTTATACAAATCATTCGGTTTTATCGAATACGCAAAAAATGTTTCCTTTTTTTTCTAAACTCTTGCAACTATATTCTCAAATACATTTACATTGATAATAATACTTTGCTTTTAATATTAACCACTGTGAAAGCTAATCTAGTCCGTTGAAATGTAAATAAACGTTATACTTTTTCGCCATTCGTTACCTATTATAGATGTCATTTTTTTTATACTTGCACGTGATAACTCATGAAATTCTCGGTTTTGATAATTAACTTTCAGTGATTGTATGAAATTTGTTTTCTCCTTTAAAAAAAAAAAATAATTACGCGCGCGCGATAACAGCACAAACGCAACTGATTTATATTTTGGGTAGGAAGACAGAAAACGCCGAAGAGACCATTATTATTCACAAACATTTCCGAATGGAATTTTATATCGGTTGTAAACGGGAAAAGAGAGAGATAGAGAGAGAGAAAGATAGAGAAATAAAGAGAACAATGCCGAAATTTTCGATCGCAGCACTCGCTGAGCATCGCAGTTGCTTATTTACGCCTTATTACGCTATAAATGTATTTAATCATTATCGAGCTCGTCACTCGCGCATTTTGAGATCATGCTGAGGTTTTATTATTTTTTTTATAACAATAGTTCATACTTTGATAAATTTACGCATTACACTCCTTATTTCTTAAAATGGCCTTAAAACTTTGAATCGATGAAAAAAATGTGTTTTTTTATTTTTTAATTATATATACTACATTAGACGTTTATTATGCAGTGTTTATAAGTCAGGGCAGGTGCGCGTGATTAAATTTCATAAAAAGCTATTCCCTACCTCGATTTTTTTTTGTTTGTTTATAATCAATCAACTTTTGTTGTTGTTGTTGTTGTTGTCGTCACTATAATTAGCTTATTAAATATTAATAGTCGCTGTTGTTCCATCTGTTATTTATCGTGTTTTTTTAGGCCAAACTCTTGCTGATACAAGTCGATTGTGCTCCGATTTTTGTTAGCATTAATATCAATATTATTGAATTATTCTCTGGATTTTTTTTTTCATCGTAATTACCACTAATTAACACAAAGATTTGAAAAATTTTTCCCACCCTCTCATCTAAAATATAAGACAATGTATAATGGCTAATAATGGTTTCTTAAAATTTTTTGTTGCCGTAGTTCACTTCTTAATTAATTGCTATCCTAATCAATTTAAGAAATTGTCTTATTTTCAATATACAACCAGCCGCCCCCTCTCATGTATACACAATACATTTACTCTTAATCCTGTCACGCGCGCTCAATTCCTAAGTAACAAGGATCACTATAAGATCGCCTATGCGTTACTGTTTACGTAACAATAATTAATTGCCGTAATTAATTACTTTGAAACACGTTTGTTTTAGTCGGTAATTATATGCACTATGCGATATCGGCATTTAAATCTTTAGCTGTTTAAAGAGGCGTTTTAATAATAGGACACGTTCAAAATTTGTACAAACTCGTGGACAGAGAGATATATTTTTTTTTTTTAATAATCGTGTATTTATAAACTAGATTGAGTTCTTTCTTTCTCTCTCTTTATTTGCTTGGTTTTTTTAGTCGTTTTGTATTTCGTCTTATTGATTTGTTTGTTTCGGATTATTTTCTTTTTTTTTTTTTTACTTAAATAAACCATTCTTTGTCCGTTCGCCCGCTTCTTTCCTTTCGAAACGTCTCACTGAATATTCGTCCGAGAGAGTATGGTTTATTTATTATTTAGGTACCTTTCATTCAAACGTTTGTTTTTCGAAATTCAGTGCAGTGTGTGTGTCTCGAGTCCAATTTTACAGTACGTAAGATCTCGAAATGAAACATGCACAAACTCGTAACTCGAGTATATCGTGCTTCGCTTTTGTTTTCCGGTCGACGTCGGGGTATCAACGTCAAGTCGCAATTTTCTTTAGTTTTATTAGCGATGAATTATAAATATTTATCTTATAATGGGTTCTTGTGTGCGCGAAGTGTGGCTTGAATTTGAAAAAATTCTTTGAAAATGTACGATCGAATAATAGAAATTCGTACTTATTTTTTTTTAATATACTGCGAACTAGCTAATGCAAATATATCAATGTACGGTGTAATATGTTAGTATTATTAAACGGTAAATCTTGATTTATAATACATTTCAGGCGCGCCACAAGCAAGTCGATCACAGTTCCTTAAAAGTTTTATTTTTAAGTTTTTTTTTCTCTGTTAACTATATAACGCCCGTTATTTACTCGGCAATTATTATTATTCATTATTAATATTAACCGTAGTAATATTAGTCGTATTAATCGTCGTGAGCTGAGCGTATCTATCGAAAGATACCTTTGCGAGAATACACTCGTACATCACGAAGTAAGGGGCGTTTATTTTTTTCGCTTTTTCGCTCAACTTTTTTTCTCTCATTTATTACTCGTAATTTTTCTGTACCGTCAATATTAATTATCAATCGAGCGACCATTTTTTTTTTATTGACTGTACGTTTTCTCCAGCGTTTATTTTCTAATATTAATTACTTACATTATGGACTAGAATCTCGCGGTGAATCTCGCGAAATGTTTAAACGTAACAATTCAAATTTAACTTTTTTCTTCGAATGATTTTTTTTTTCAACTTCAATCACATTTAATGCATAGACTTGGAAAAAACTTTTTTTTTCTTTAATTCCTTAAAAATCAGCAATTATCACTCGAGTATTTCTTTTTATACCTTTGTATTATCTGTTAGTGTCGTTTGTAGATAACAGTGCTAATAATTAAATGTGACCTTTTTAATACTTATGCAGTGGTTGGCGAATGGTGTAAGTCTAATGTATCGAAGACACGGGTTTGTAAAAATTTTTAATATTGAAAAGCTTCGGCAATAATACGCTTCGACATGCAATCAATATTTTTTTATACGAGTTGCAAAACCATATCTTCCTTCTTTTTTCAAATTGTCGTTGCAATTATTAAGTACGCGATATTCTTATGACACTATCATTACGATTAATGAAAATTTTGCGTCGAGTTTTTTGATTAAATGGCAGATTACGTTTAGCATTCACTAATTATGTTTATATACATAAGTAAATCCAAAAAACTTTCAACTATTCAGAGTCACGATGAGATCTATCTTATTATCAATCCAATTAAAGACTTTACATACATTTTTTCATTAAAACATTTAGTTAAATATTTATAGCTCTGACTTATAAAATATATCAATGATAATAAATTTTAATGACAGTAATAACTATAGATATTCTATTGAAAACTCATTAGCGATAGCTGTAAATTACAATTTCTAAAATTTACACTTTTAAAAAAACTTCATAGTACAATGATGTAACTGATTTATCATTATAAATATATATTTTTACACTTAAACGACTAAAGATCATAAGTCATTGATATCTAAAATGAAATCTTTGAACTACTGTGAAAATTATGATAGCAGGTAAAATCAATACTTTGTCAATTTTTCGGTTAATCTGTTCGAGAATATATTTATATTCTTACTCATCGTTTACGCACGCTTAAATTCGCCTAAATCGAATGGACGAGATTGAAAAAGTCTGAATTACTTATTTTCACATGCTTCGAACTTCAAAAGTAATATTACAATTTTAAAGCTATAGTTATATAGCTACAGGAATGAAATACAGTAAGAACTACGTAAAAAATATATATATTGTTAAAAAGTCATGGATTTCCTCATGTATAAAAGTACATGAAAGTGTGTCTATTTCAAATTGACAATAAATGAACAATTGAAACTGTTAATCACAATAATGTAAGCCTGCTATGGAAACATATGTAAAATAATTTACATGACCACTTGATTAATATTTTTCATTTTAGATAAAACAATTTTGACGAAGAATTTTTATTTTTATCTCTTTTGCCAAGTTGGAAGATGGCACGAAATCCCGTGCCTTCGTTCACATTTTTCATATCTTTGTTCATTACTTCCATGTTATACTGTTATTTCAAATATCATTACGAGTCATGATATCCGGATACTTCGTATTTTATTTAAAAATTTTTAATTATTCGTGATACAATACTGTTATGCATTTAATTATTTCTGTCGGTTACAATAACGAACGATAATGATATTTTATGGTAAAAATTATAATGATCATAATGTCGATGATAATTAGTATAGCTAGCTAGAATTAAAGTTACATTTTTTGTACAATTTTTGGGGCATCAAATTCGCACAATCATCGCTCCGATCGATTGATATGAATGAGCGAGTTATTACAATTCGTGCCCTACTTTGCTCTTCTAATTTATAATTCATTGATTTTTTCTTTAAATTTCTGTGAGAACAGCTAGAATCATAAGTACAAACCTCGACAACGTAGTTATACATGTACATTAGTATTTATAATAAAATTTCCAACAAAAAGCCTCTTTGCTTTTTTATAACATTTTGTCGCAATTAACGTTTACTATATTTGCATCTCGATCTATTATAATGATATATCATAGATAAAAATCGTTTTTTTTTCGGAACCGTTCAATCGTTTCCCACATTTTGCGGAAGTTCAAGCAACGATTTCCGTATAACTCGCAATTAATCGTATTGATATATATTTATATATTTTTTTTAATAGCAATTAATGAGCAATAAAATTTTCATTCAATATATTATACATATAATATTTATAATTCATGAATATAACTCTCTCGGGCTCGATCGTCCGACTTGTGTGTATGTGTGTGAAGGTATGCATGTAATATATTATATAACATGCGAACGATTCCCTAAAATGTTTAATATTTTAAAGACTGAATTGTTGCATCATTGCGTTCATTTATCAATGCTTCTTTTTGTTTTTTTTTTCATATGTAATACGTTAGTATGTCCAAAAAACGTGATTGATTCATTTCGTTCGCTTCCTCGTTCGCTCACACCTATTATGAATTTACGACGAAGGGATATAATTTTTTTTTTTTTTGTTTATTTTTCCTAAAACTCCGTTACGAGTTAATCATTACTTATTGCTGCGGCAGAAACGCTTTCTATATCGCTTCTTCGTTTTCCTCGACCGATCACCGAGTATAATATAATTTCAATTGCACGGACCATTGTCTAATGTAATATGTATAATTGCATTACATATAAGCTATGTATTATTACACGCTACAGGCATAACGACGCGTTCGATAAAACATTTTCAATCGATATATTTGATATAAGAAGATTTTTGCTGACTCGAACGTGTTCATGTTTTTTACTTTATATATATATTTTTTTATTTTGTTCTCGTGTGTATATGTGCGTTTGTGTGTCGTGGTGTTTTTTTTTGTATATTACGCGCATCGGCGCGTGTACGTGTTTCGTCATTTCTTCCTCTTCTTCTTATTTTTTGCTTTTTTTTTTTTCGTGAATTTCAAAGAGATTTCAAAGAGTTTTTATATGGTGTGTACAATTGCTACGAGTTGTTATTTTTTTTTTCTTTAAATCTGAGATGAGCAGCGCTGGTGGCGTACAAAGTCAAATTATCAATTTTATCGAGGTTTTTTCTCGCACTTTCTCGTATTTATCGTATAGACAGTTGTAAACTATAATGTGAAAGCACTAGTAGTTATACAAGTAGCCTCGTCAGCGGTGACGAACGGGCGCGCGCGCGCGTGTGTGTGGGTGCCTTGAGTTTGCCTTTTTTCTACGTCGTCCAAAACTTCTCGGAAATTACAGCGTCTCCGTGGAATTGATCGACCCTTGGGGAGAGAGTAGAGGAGGAGGAGACGACCCTTTTTTTCCCCACGAGTCGTATATTTATTCTGCGGGGTTTTTTCTCTCTTCCGCGGTGTGTGTGTGTGCCTGTCATTCGTTAGGGCTCAAGGCGATATGCGTTAAAGTTTCTTTTTTTTTTGGGGCTGCTCTCCTCCAAGGTTGAATGTAAATGCACGGGATGACACTCCAGACTGGGTCTTCGATGAGAAAAAGCGAGCTCGATCTACCTCGATAACGTCGTTGAACTTTTCTGTAATTCAATCAAGTCGTTTTAATTTTTTTTTCTCTCTAAAAAAAAATTTACATATTTATAAATGATTACCTGTACCGAGTGATTCACAGGCCGAAGTAGCTACCAATAGTAGTCGCAAGGATAATGGCGAGAATGGCCAAGCAGATCATGATCATGATTTTCTTCTATACTCCGCAACGACGAGTTTTCCATGAGGTAGGCAATGCGAAACATCAGAAAAACAATCATTAGTAAACACGAGCAACAACGGCATGGAATAATTGATCAATTCCCACGCATATGTATGAACATAATACACTATGCATCCAATAACGCATGTGCACATTTATGTATATAAATATAATATACGTTTGTATGAGGTAGACATTTAACATTTATGTTGGGTATAATGGTATGTACATGTTTAATATACGTTTGGTTTATTTACTCGCTCCCACCTATACATATATCGCAATTATCGATTCGGGCGGTGCGGGGATCAGTGTCGTATCGTTTTCCTCTTGTGATTACAGAGCGAACCTATGTATATCCTATACATTCATATATATATGAAAATAATTCTGCAAATTTTCTGTCCAGTACTGCTAGCGAAATTCTCGTCGTTTATGTACCCTAATCGATAATCCGGTAATCGACGAGATTTTTGCGTTCTCAACGTGTGCGTCGACTCACTCTCTATTGTGCGACGATGATGCTTTTGTGTGTGTGTAAAAGATACACTGAAAAAAAAAAAGATACCTGCCTCGAATTCTGATGATGTGTACACAACACGCATTGCGACTTTTGTTCTTTAACTACTAAAAATGCCCTCGATGCGCCGCTGATCGATCTACATTTGGCTTTACATGACAACCGTAAAATATTTGTATGCGTGTATACGATGCAAAAATCATATACGAGATATATAGTTGAATGAGGTACTTAATTGGATTGACGAATTGAATGCCACATTCAGCTCCATGTGGATTTTACCACCCCTCGACAGTACCATTCATGTCGCACATAAAATGACTGATTGTATCGATAATTTGAGGTAAATAATCTAATTTTGAACTTTTATAACGACGTTCTTTATGCGTTACATTCAATTGCAAATTCTATAGCTAATGTATGCAGTCGGTTTCTTTTTTAGCACTACTATGGTGTATGTGATATGTATACTTATGACGGTATTACATTGAAGGTATCTCGTCTAGTTATTTTAATGTCAAAATTTGCACAGAGAAAAGCATTGTGTATGTAAAGTTCAATATAAAGTCAAGTTTCTAACTGAACAATGAAACTTCAAATATGTACATTTTGTATCCATCATTATTAAAATATCATGCACAATGATGAGATTCACAAGATAACGTTGTAAGAAAATAATTTAAAACCTGCTCGGATTTCCTTCCACGTCTTGTCACTGATCAAAAAGAAAAAATCTATCTATAGATAGACCGTAAAAGAAGGCGAAAGGAAATTCACTCTCGGTCCGTGTGGAGCTCGACAGGTTCCTAAATTTTTAGTGACAAGACGTCAATAAGAATTTGCCGAGCGAGATTTCAAATGATTTGAAAAGTAGTAATCAATCTAATAGTGGTATAAGGTATATATATGCTCGGTACAATAAGTGAAGGAGAAAAAAAAGTGAAATCATGTCCTATGTGTAAAGCTTCGAAAATAATACAAAATTATAATACAATTTACAAATGAAAAAAAGATTTATTCGTCAGTATCTTGGCATTAAATAACAAAAAAGAAACTTAAATCAGAGGCTTATATCAAAGTAATTTTTTTTTTGTTTGATACCGGGGTAAGAGAAAATTGTTTGTTCGTTGTTACATGCATTTTTTGTAAATATATAATATCTGGGTGTCGGTCATTCAAGCGAAGCTTTAAAGTCACATCAATGCAACGCCTTTGGAAATTGATATCAAATTATATATAATATATTCCTCCTAGCACAGTGTCTAAAGTTTAGTCTCTACTTATGCTCAGGAAGGTAAAAACATTTATACGTACATATAAACAAAATCAGTACACGTTACCATTCACACGCTATATGAACAACAGTTAAGAGAAAATAATACATCAGTAGTAGTAGTAATAGTAGTAGTAGTAATAGTAGTAGTACGCCGGAGAAGTGTTTTTTTATGTATAGATTACATATAATAAAAATGTGTGGTTTTTGTATTTTGCAGTGAAATGCAACAACGAGAGCTAGATACATATTATACATAATATTAGTAGGTATATGGTATAATAATTAACATCGATGAGTAACACACGAGCCATTTACATCAAGTCACGCAATTGCTCTCAATTACTTACTTTGCAGCTGATTCGAAATGACATGACGAGGCTCTTTAAGATGATGATAACTCCGAAGAATGTTACATACACGTGCGCATACAACTTTCTTTCTTTTCTGTTCTTTCTTCCCCGACGTTGTCGAGACACGCACTCAATGAATCTTGCGAACGAAACGAGTCCTCTCCAAATACTTTTTTTGCCTAGCTATATATATATTTATTCGATTTCATTCGTCGCACTGTATAGCTTGAAATACCATACGCTCCCGAACAAATGAAAATGAGAGTATGTGTGTAGGTGGGTTACTTGGTTGGTGGCGGCGGCGACGGCTCGTATTTAAGGCGAAACAAGCCTGCAACGACCGAAAGCTTTTTCCGAAGCTCCGTCTTGTCGCACTTTTGTTTTTTATTTTTTGTTTCATTTCATTCTGTGATGTAGCAGCGCGCGCAAAAATCGTCGTCTCACTCTCTCTCTTATATTTCGCATCTAAATCTTTGTACAAAGATTACATATAAACAAAACTTTTCTTCTTTTTTTTCTCAATAATATCATACATCCATTCGTTAAAGAATTAAAATAAATCTGAATATTACAAAGTTTGAACAAGGATGCGCCGATAACAAGTATGCTTTATATATGCGTCGTTTTTTTCAAAAATTTGTTATCGAGTAAAACTAGCACGATTTACAATAATTTTAATAATACATTGAAAATTTTCGCAAGAATTTATCGTGCTATCTTAATCGATTATAAACGCCGTAATATACGCATTGATATACAGACAAAAGTGAGCGGAAGGCAGTGTCGACGTACTCTTTAGTTTATATCTGTATATAATAATATATATATCACGATTCTTAGCTCGGATATATTGTGTAATTTACTAACTATTTCGAAGCACAAATTATCGCCTCATCTTCGCAGAGAGAGAGAGAGATCCGCGAGAGTTTACGAGAGTACACGTGATCGCTCAAGTGGGAATATAGTCTATACTGTGTAAATTACAACTACATATATATATATCTATACGCAGATGGATTATATGCAATCGTTCAACTTGCTTACACATTGCCTTACACAACGAATAATAAACTTAAAGGGTACGAATTATATATTACGAGCGAGCGATAAAACTAAAAACGCGCAAAATTAATGGTTCACTTTTAAGAGCACGACGAGAGGGCGCGTTATAACAATTAGAAACTTAATAGTATTTATTGCGCGCGAATAGTACGAATGACTTTTGACAATTAGAAATATGTAATGTTATTTTAAGAGAGACACAGAGAGTTCAAGAGATTATAGAACGAGCGACAAGTTCGAAGGCGAGAGGCGCGCGCGCGCGACATTGAAAAGACATTGAGGAAATTCGGTAAAAAAATGCACACACAATTGCGCCTCGAACTTGTACGAATTTCGCGCGCGCGAACTTGATCGACGCTCTTTTATATAGTTTACATAGTTACAAATTGGTTCATATTTTATACATAATAAACTTTTCGTACTTATCCATACGTATTACAATTAAAAACGAACGAATTAAAATTAGAAGCGTAAGACAAAGTGGTCTCTCTCTCCTTCAACGCTCACGAAAGTTTTCTCTCGCTCGATTGCGTGCGTGTGTCTTTTATGTCAGAGTCGATGCCAGTACGGCAATTAAAATGATGACTAAAATCGTAACGCAGATTATGATGAAAATCATTTTCTGTAAAAACAAAAACATAAGATAATTTGTAGTAAAAAACGCGCTATTTTTTTTTATTTTATTTTGCAGTATGATAAAAGACACCAAAATAATAATGTAATTAATCACATACAGCCGCGGGTTAAAGAAGCCGTCATTCTCGTGCGCCTCCCAATGACGTTCGAGAGAGAGATTATTGATTATTTGATTAAAGAGCACAAGATGAAGCATTAATTTTTACATGACAATTTTGTTAGTCGGCGGCAGTTCGGCCAGCCCCAGCACCAGCAGCAGCGGAATTGATTAGTTTTCCAGTGAAACATCGTATAGCAAACACATATAATGAACGATGATGAAATGATTATAGATATATAATTATACTTTCGTCGCTCACTTTTCCGGTGTTAACTTTGCACACACACACACATACACACACACACATGCTTGTTAGTTGTTTGGCAGCGCCAGGACACGAATGAATAATTGTGCGACTCTCGTGCATAGGTCGCTCAATTTTTCACGCGCGCTGAAACACTTTTCCCATTAATTTCGCGAAAATAAACAAGTCAACACTCGGAGCGGATTGTATATAAGCGTAAACGATTCTCTCTCTCTTTTTTTTCTTCTTTTGCTTCCTTTCTTTCTTTTTTTTTTTTTTTTTTGTCAGTCACACACGCGCGCGCGCGCAATTGACAAGTGCACACACACAGACAACATCGAGATGTAGTAGCCACACGTAAAAGTTGAATTTTTGGAAAAATTTATCGCAATGATATTTTGCACACATAAAAACTTGCATTCGTACGCAAGCTTTTTTCCGCCACACACAGACGCACGTATTATATTATGTATCATAGAAATAAGCCATTTAAGTATAGTGTAACAAATTCGTTGTGTGAGTGTACTATGGTTTCAATGAAAATTCATTAAAGAGCTCGTGAATAGTAAAATAATGTCAAGATTGTGTTTTTTTTTCTTTTCAAACGCTTCAATCAGTGTATATGCACGGATTCAACTGAACTGTGTGTTGTATCTTTTAGTGAGGAACGAATTTTCGAGGCCACATTGACGCATAAAACACATTTTTACAGAGCAAACATTCCGCGAATGACGAGAGAGAGAGAGAGAAAGCTCGAGGATAGAGAAAGACGGTAAAAAGCTAAAAATAGATCGAGAACCCACGATTACTTTTTTTTTTATTTTCCCCTCTTCATTTGTCTTTATTAGATTTGCAGATAAAAGTACGATCGAAAAGCCACGTTGATTCAAAATTAAAGAAACGGTCGTCTCGAAGGCACATTCCGATATGATCTCGGCCGAACGATCTACTTGTGTTTGTGTGTGTCGTTTGGTTTTTTACAATTCTACAACATTTAATCGATGCCGATGCATAATGCATCGTGCCAGCTGCTAGATTTTTTTTTTTTTTTATCAACCCACTACTACAAAGATGTATATTTGAAAAAATCATGTTTTATGCGCAACGTGTGCTGTCTCGCTCTCTCTTTCACGAAAGAGGATCGAGCGTACCTCCTTGCTTAACCAGCCGTAATACTCAATCTCGGGGAAAAAAAAACTCAAAATGCGATAAACTTGTGGTTTTAGGAATTTTCGCGCGTCAAAAATTATTAAAATTTGTTCGTGTATGTGTGTTTCAATCGTGTGTTGTTCTCTATATCGCAGTCTGAAAACGTCATTTATCGTATTTACAAATCTGTATAATATATATATTTTTTCTATTCGAATCGAATTTGAAAAAGGGTTACTTATTTTTTCACCCCCCAGACGATACAATTAATATTGAACGAACGTATATATGTATATATCTATGTATATGTAACACATTATTCCACGTCGCTCCGGTTCGTTACATCGTTCGTGTCGACGAACACTTTCGTTACTCTCATTCTGTCGGTTTTGGGCTCGGGTCAGACTAGCCTTTTTATTGTCCATTCGTCGATTAGTATTAAATTTCTGTTTGCTTAATGGAATAGTTCGTGTGCTGCTACTTCTTTACTTTTTATTTTTTATTTTATTTCATTTTATTTTTTTTCATCGCACTTCGTTCGCTTTTCATGATCATGAAGCAGTAATGTACAATCGTTTATATACCGATGAGATTGATATAACTCCATTTAAAATGCGCATCTCGTATTTGGTTATGCTCGAGTACTATTACTGTCGCAATCGCCGCGACACAGACACGATTGCCATACGTTATACGAGAGGTAAATTATCATTAATATTATTATTAATTTTTACATAATGCAGTTAAGTTTAATTGAATTTATTATTTGGTTTAAGCAATGTTGTATCACCTTAACGCGTCCTTTGCATACACACTCACACATACACGCGCACACTTTTTTGTCCTCTCAACACGACTTGACATTTATTATCTTCGAATGTGAACTTTTTTAGCCTATCCGATAAAGTTTGTTTTATTTTTTTTTTGAAACACATTTTTATTACTATCTATCAGCTTTCATCTACTACTTGTCAGAGATCCTTTTTAATTTCTCTGGTATGCACTACTGACGTTTAAAATATCGGAAGGAACGCTCCAAGTATGGAGATTAATATGACGAGCGATATGGCGACGCAGATCATAATAAAGATCATTTTCTGTGGACAAAAAGAAGATGAAAAAAGGGATGGTTGATTGATGATGCTGATTTTTCGGGGTCGTTCATTTTCCTCTTACGGATAATTCCGAAAACAAAGTCATTGTATACTCGGGATAAGGTGATTTGTGAAATTTATGATAAAAAATACGTGACTTTTTTCCCACGCGGTTACTGATTAACTAAAATAATTCTGTACCTTTGATCAAATTTGAAAAATAACCTTAGTAGGGATGAACATTCAAAAACTAAGAAAAACTAGAGCAAATTGTTAATAAATAAAAAACAAATTTTTCATCTTTAACGACAACATTGACGTTGGTAACATAATACATTAGAAATTCTGACAAATGTATGGAAATAAAACTAGCTAAGTGAATAATTAAAATTTCCAGTATAAGACTTTCCAAGTATCATGAAACTTTAAGTCTTCTTATCTCGAGCAATTAAAGATGGATATGACATGAAATTCATACTTTCAATGTTCACAATAATACGAGAGTTAATTGAATAAACTAAGATAAATTTCAAAAAACTACTACAAAATATGCAAAAACTAAATCGAGCGTATAATACAGCAATATAAAACTTACTCAATTTACTCAACTACGAGACTACGGGGAAAATAAAACAGAAGTCTACAGTGTAGGACAAATCCGAAAATATTGTAATTCTCGCGAAGCCTTTTTTTTGCTCAGTAGCTTATACACAGCTTTACAATGTAAAGTACGGAATCGTTGAAATTGGTCAGTCGCGAATCGAACATTCTATAATAAGCTTTGATCGAGCATTGGAATACTAATTTAGCACATATTACGATGATACGCGCGTTACATACTATAACGAAGTACTGATACATACTGCATCGAAATTTACGGAACAAATTGCGAGAATGTGTGTTTAAAAATTCCTTACTTTTTCGTTTACGTGAATCTATATTCGTCCTGCGAGTGCGCATATCTCGCCGAGATTCTACGGCTCGCTCCGTCGGCGCCAGTTAAACAATCCGAACATCGAGTGCTGTTTTTGCCGTATCGATTGGAAAAGCGAGAGAGAGATAGTTCAAAAGAGCGAGCGAAATAGAAAGACAAAATCTATTTTTGTTAAATGCAACAGATGTGGGTGGAAGACATATTTTTTTTTCTTATCGAACTTCATCGTATGATATAAACATTAAAATAATTTTTATTCTAATAACTATCTTAACGAATGCGTTACCAAAAAAAAAAGGAAAAAGAAAAGAAATGAAAAGAAGGTCGAAAAGGAGATACTCTTTCGACGTCCTCTGGCTGCCTCCGGGTTATCAACAACAAAAAAAAAACCAGAAACGAAAAATCTTCTAAAATATTAAAGGCAGAGCCGAGAACGCAGTGACAATTAAAAACAAACAGAAAACGGCGCTTTTGCAGCTTTGCAGAGCCCTTGTGCGCCACTACTACTATAGCCTCTATACTGCTATACACGTATCTGTTGCTGCACGCGTCACGCCGCGCTATCTCGCGCGTGGCATCGACGAACCCATCGCGGGGGCGACTCTGCGCGATTATCGTCATCAGATAAAACTGTGCTATGCACAATTACGAAAGAAGCTCGCCTCTGCCTCTTCCTCCTTCGTTACGTACGTTATAATGTTTGCATATATACTCGCGCGTTTTCTATTCCTAATATTCTCATTTAGCTTAACGCGCTCGTTACTCGCGTCGCGCTGTAAGCAACGCGAATTTCATGTTGATAATTTTGCAGATTTATGGAGAAACTTTAGAACGACGAAAGACCGTATAAAAACTAGTTTCTACGTTTTCGTAATAAATATTAAGAAAAAATCTAAGGTTCGTCATTCATTTTTTACGTATCAATGCATGCCAAGTGAAAAATAATCAATTACAACAAAACTCATGCAGAAAATTTTCCAAAAAATAACAATTAAAAAATGTTTAATCGAACTGATGAAAATTACACGATAGCATCGATCAGTTGTTATTGTAATTCTCTCTCTTAACTCGGTGTAAAGTTCTAAGGATTCAAAACGATATGAATTGCAATGTACCTAACAGGTTCATTCGCTCGGATATGAATGGTCGAGTAAGAAGATACATTGGTTCGTTATCGACAGCCATGCAAACATTAATCGATGGGTAATTCGATAGTGTTACACTCGAAGTGTTGGCCTCAAGCAGGCTGTATATATACTGTACACAGTAAGTGACCGTCGAGATCCGCAGCATCAGTTTGTTTTATTATTTTACTTTATTTTTTTTTTCTCGTCCGAGTTTACCTATACAAGTTTTGTTCTACCGAATGTTTCTTTTTTCCCACAAGAATGAAAGAACTTTAAAGCTATCATTTCGAGACTAATTTAACGTTAGTGTTAATTCGAGAAGTTTTCTGTGTGTGTGTGTTTGTGTGTGCGAGTGTATATGAGTTGGCTTAACAGTTCCCTTTTGTAGAAAAGTTTGCAGATTCGTCTCGTATACATAAAGTAAAGAATTATTCGTACGCTAATTTTCGTCTTTAATTGTCGACGCACATAATATTATCAGCAGTTACGATCGCGAACAAACTTTCGCGCGTAAACGTATTGAGATGAATCTGAAAACGATTATTGCATACGTAGCTAGTTTCGCGTTATAATTGTATTATATTGTATGCTGCAGGAATTCATAACGTGAGTGGAAAATTTTGCAAGAATAGGTCTTGGTTTCTTATAACAAAAAAAAAAACGAAAAAAAAAAACTGAAATCTTCACGTGTGCACACGGAGTGCTATGACAATTGCTAACGATGGTTCCGAACGAATATTGAAAATCACAACCAAAATACACACAATACACATGAAAAATAATACACTAATTCGTCTCAGACAGGATGGTGTTCATCGACGTTTTAGACTTGTAAAACGCATAATAATCAAGCACGTCACAACCTATTAGTTGCTCGGATTAGTCAACTCCATCATGATATTAGTTGTTAGTTAGTAGTTAGTATATATGATGTTTTTATACTAAATTTATTCAATGGGTAGAGCAGCAGTGGACAGAGACACAATTTTCACACTTATAGTAATAACATTTTTTATTAATTTTATGAGTGCATGGTTTTTGCTAGCTACGGATTAGTGTTCAAAAAATAACGCGCAACGCAAGAAACTAATTAACTAGTTCTAACATTTTTACATCGAACACAATAGTTATTTCGTGAACACTAATTGACAGTATTGAAATGAAAATTTAACAGTGAATTGAAAAAAAACCATTATTTAACCAAAAATGAAATTTCGATAACAGTTGATTAGCGAAAAAAACAAACACTGAAAAAATGAATCGAAAGGGTTGTCAAAGGTGTTAAAATATATCGTCGTTACTGCTTTCGTTATGAACGTAGATATAAGATGATGATTAGTATGAAGTAAAATGGTGGTTAATAAACCGCAGACACCAAATCGCCACGGGAGCTTATAATTAAGTACAAATTGAATTTTATCTTATGGCCGATAAAAAAACTCGAACTTACCCGTCGGGCTTTGCTTTGATACTTGAGTGCTTTTTTGGTGTCCTGCGTGGCCGTTTGCACGTAATCGACTGCATGCTCCACGTGATATTCTATACGATCTATCATTTCTCCCTGTTTCGAGGTTTTGAAAGAAGAACGAAATCAATGATAATATTATTAAAGAATAAATTCTCTCGGTAAAAGCGTATTATAACCGCCACCCCCTTCTCGGGCGGACGAAATATAATAATAATAAGTAATAATAAATGCTCGGTGTGCCCTACCTGACTCTCGACCAGCATGGCCATATCCATGAACATGTCGTGCAGTTCCCTGATGGAATTTTCTAATTTTATGATGTCAGCGTGGCGCGCTTCGATATCCGCTAAAGTCTGTTTGGCTTGTTGCGTTTCCATAATAATCTGCGTCAATATAAAATTAGTATCACGGGCGGATGCGCTTTACATACACTTAAAACACTAAGTTCATACACACAATATCTTATATTTTATATCGAATCCATTTACGGTAATACAATATTAACACTGGCCGTGATGAAAATAATAATCAGTGCAATTGAGATATTTACAAACACGCGGAAACATTGAGTTAGAAGTTAACTCCAAGTTGGTAACAAAAATAAATACTCACTCCTTGCGTGAAGACTGCAGGATTACCCTGTTCCAACATTTCTTCGAGTTCTTCGTTAGTTGTCGTTCTACCCGCTAAAAAAATTAATTAATCAATTTAGTCTCGCGGGCGGTATTTTATTCGCGAGAAAAATTTAATATTGCTCCGCGCGCTACAACCACTTATGATTATCATCAAGGATCTCAAGATCTCGTGTATCATTAAAATTAATTGCGGCATATATATATCGTACAAGTAGGTAGGAAGTTTTCTCAAGTAGCAAGATTGCTCGCAAGTATGTACGAACAAAAATTCAAACAATTGTTATATATCTCCACAAGAGCACGAGGGTTGAGAAAAATACAAAATCGTCGCACTTACTGATTTCTAACTGTCTCTGTATTCTTCCTTTACATCGCTCCCTGTAATCAGTCTGCGTTCGGTTGTATTCTGTCATGACCTCGACGAATTTTCTTGATAACGTCGAGTGCTGAGTTTTGCGTATCCTCAGATCGGCCGATGATTTATTTGTGTGCTCCTCCTGCTCGATATTTTGCTCTATGACTTTTAATTTGGCTCTGACTCTATTAGCGGTTTTCTTGATGTCAGCCATCAGATCCTCGAGTTCGTTTTTGACTTCTGCAATGATAAAAAGCAACAATTTTTTCATCAGTGATTGTTTTACGATGAATCCACACAAAGATCGAGTTGTTTATTATTCTTTTTTTTCGTAGCGAAGAAAAAATCATGTCAAACTGTCTTACACGAGTTTCGAGCTTGGCTACTTTTAAATTGATCGTATAGCAGTATATAGGCGTGTACCCATAACAAAGAAAAAAAGAAAAGAAGCCTTATATAGCCCCGCTTGAACTCTGAATTGTCTGTCGCCGAATAATTGATTGTTTATAGGTGTTCGCCTTTCCCGATGCTATTAAAGTTATCGTGTTACAACGTATTACAGTTATACTGCAAAATTGTAAAAGTTGGTTAATCTTTTACAGCCTTGGATGAAAAATAAAGAATAAATAGAATCGAGACAATTTGACGCGCGAATTTGAGTTATTTCTTTATAAACTACTGAAAAGTTTCTTCCGTAATTCTTAAGAAGTGACTCGAATGCATTATATTTCGAAAATCCGAGTAGTTTTTGAGTTTTATCCTGGATACGACTAGTAGTTTTTCAAGTGTTCCGTGTTTCCAGATATAAGAGTGACAGCCGGAACTAAAAAGTATCTACTAAAATGACGGAAACACGTTAAACGCGAAACATCATTGCTGTTGTCACGGGTATAAATTTCAAGCTGTTATTTTTTTCCCTCGCTTTTAGACGCGTATACACGAGTATAAAAAAAAAACAGGTTCCAGTGTCAAAGCTATAAAGTTCAACTTTCTTTTTCGCTAAGCCTGCTGAAAAATAATCTTCGCATAGGAATGTAGCGTGGAAACTTTCCGCACTTTGGAGCTCGCGTGACACTCGCGAGTACTTGAGTTTCTCCAGATATGGTACGAGCCCGAATTTACGAGTAATCAACTTTTATCAATGAGCGCGGTCTGACGAAATCTTGACCCGAACTACTTGAATTTTCCTTTGTAACAAGATTTGTGGATTATTGTGTAATAGTTTGGCGATTATATTTTTGTTACGCGTTCCAGATTCATCAATTGTTAAGATGACCGAAACTACGATAATATCTTGATATTTTCCCATCTTATTTGGAAAAAAAAACTCATGAAATAAAATGTAGCTAAAGCTAATAATTTAGCTTACGCGATCAAAAAAAAAAACGTTGACATCAACAGTTTAATGCAGCTCTTAGGAAGCAGGCCGACATCTGCTGTGACTCATTTTAACCCATTTCGTATACATATTCTCGTGCATCCCGGAGCTTATGACTTTTAGGCGCAAAAAAAAACGTTTCTTATGAATAAAAATATTTCGAATATAACACATAATGGTATAAAATCGATGTGGATAAGTCCATGCTCGGCTACAGTATTAAATCGTAATGCTCGCACGAGTATTCGGATTTTCGAGCGGATTGAAATTTTTTTTTTCTTCATCCAAGCAGTGTTCGGAAAAACGAAGAGCAAGTCGTAAATCTTTACTCAAAACATTAATCTACATTTCGCTATATTGGTATTAATTTGTCTTTAATGGCAAAGGCTTTACAGTCGAAATGTAAATTTCAGTAAATTGAGCGTGAGCTTTTTTGCACGATCCGACACACACGGCTTTATTTCTTTTAAAAATTTCACCTGTGCCAGGGTAATTGCAACTCGAACATTCAAGTATAACCGATGAAACGATCGCAATTTCGGGACTATTTTAATCCTATTAACTTTGGGGGTAGAGAAAAAAAATACTAATGTCCCTCATAAATATACCCAGATTATAAGCGCAAGTTTGCCCCTAAGTTTGGCTACGTTGCCAAAAACGTTTTATTGCGGTAAACCATTTCTAATCGAGGCGCTATTGCATATCAATGTAGATAAGCAGCTTTTGGAGTAGGTTCGGGTTTGCCCCCCCGCCCGTCCTCTATACACGTGTAACGAAAACGATTTTTAATATCGCGCGCGCCCGCGACGATATCTATCAACAAATCAATGCGATCACCGCACGGACGAGCTTATATCTTTTCAATTTGCAGCAGGCCACGGACTTTTAATTTTTAAGCTTTATTATTTTCCTCGCGTTTAATTTGATTTCGCTCCCCCCCGCGCGCGCGCGCGAACGTGAAAGAAATATTTTTACATCTCGAAAAAGGCTGTAGGCCAGGATTTCGAATACGTTTTACGTCGCGTTACACACGATATCTATACGTCGAGTAATTGGAAAAAAGATGAAATAACGCAAAAAGATTGAGGTTAAACTTTATGTCTACCTCGCGTCGTTATGCGAGAAGAGAGAGAGAGCGAGTTTACATACAAAAGCGTCTGCAGATATACATCGCTGACTGATCGATTTATTGGAAGGCCAAGGGTTTTTAGAAAACGCGCTATAGTATATACTGCAACGAATGATTACTTATGGGTTGTTTGTTGAAAAAAAAAGAATTGAAAGCTTCGCTCGCCCATTAGTTTTCATGACCTAAGCAAATAATTTAATTTTTTCCTCTTCGGTAAAACGAGCAACTTAAAAAACTTTACGTCTCGGTTATTAATCAGTGCAATGTACGCGCGTCTGTTAAACTCGCATTTTCATTTCTTTCATTCTCGACTGCGATTCTAATTGCGATGCAATATTACCACCCTCGACGCGGGTATTATTGGAGAGTCTGATAAAAATTGACCGCACGCACTCCGTTCATCATGAATCTCTGATCAGCGAGATCAAAATTTATCGACCACCTTCTTGATAAACCTCTGCGAGTTAATTCATCGAGTACATACTCATTACAGTTTACATTGAAAACTGTTTTTTTTTTTTTTTTTCATCGACGAAAGCGAATCGTAATGAAAATCTTCGCTTATAAAGCATACATACAGGTCGGCCGAAGGGCCAAAGATGCTTTGGTTTTTGCGTATATATATACCGCGTAGAAATCGAATGGTAATTTTACGAAACTCCAGTCAAACACACGCCTCTATACGCGCGCAGCGGCAAATTCTCTTGATTATTTCAAGTTAGGCGGGTAGTATTCTCTCACCTCTCTTTCTCTCTCTCTCTCTCTCTCTCTCTCTCTCTCTCTCTCTCTCTCTCTCTCTCTTTTCTCTCTCCTTCTCTCTTTCCCTCGCATTCGCTTAAACATCGACCTATTTCAGACGGCGTGCGGAAAAAAGCTAGAGAAAGCAGCAGCAGCGAGTGCATAGCCCGCGTGTGCATCTACACTACACGCGCGCATGCATATATATACATATACACAGGGGGTGTAAGTTTTCTTTTCAAAAGAACTGCACATTCTTGATATTTTCCATACGGTATAATATGTATATACAGTATGCACGGCGAGCGAGTGCGCGCGAACTGCTTCGTGTTTACTATTAAGCACACACCCACACATCGACCCAAGGAATTACACGAGTATATAGTCGCTGGTAGTGGTAAGGGTGAACGAGCTCGTGAACTAGGTCAAAAGCAGCCAGCAACACTAGCAGCAGCAGCAGTAGTAGGCAATAGCGCACCTCTCGGCTTATTGCACTCGAGCACAGCAGCAGCAGCAGCAGCAGCGTCGGCGGCCGTAACAGCAGCAGCAGCAGTAGCTGCAGCTGCAGCGGTAGCTGACTCTACCTCGCTTTTTTCCTGCTACTACTACTACTACTACTACTACTACTACTACTACTACTACTACTACGAGATAGAGAGAGAGAGAGAGCACGAGCAGCCGTATTAGGTTAGCTGTTATACGAAAATGTCTGCTTAACACCCTCCCGAGCGAGCGAGGTGAGTGCGAGTGCATGGAGACACTACAAAGCTGTCGCGTTGCTGCTGCTGCCGCTGCCACTGTAATATACTCCTAACGTTGCTGCTGCTACTGACAATGATGCTACCTCTTTTGCACTTTTCTAGTAGGAGAAAAGTCCGTGTCTTACTACTACCCCCGATGAGTAATAGCGATTGTTGATGAAGAGCATGAGTTTGCTGGAATCTCTCTCGCGGCGTTAAGTACAGGATCGCTAAAAATCAATTTAATAGCTGGTGGGAAAAAAGGATGGAAAAAATATAGGTTGCTACCGGATTTTATCTTTCTCCCCATTTTTTTTTCTTATATATATACGTGCACGACGACGACGACGACGCGTGCTACGATTTCATCGATCGATTTTTAAATAATAGGGGAATTTAAATATTCGAATAATTTAAAATTCAAGTCTTATTTTAAAACCGTATTCTCTACGCGATTATATTTCGACTTTTGAATTCAGTTGAAATGTTCACTCGCAAAAAAAAAATAAGAAAAAGAAGATAGAAGAAGCAGCAGAAAAGTCAAGGCGTAAATCTCAATTGATTTCTACGACCCTCCGCTATTTTTTTCTCTCTTTCTTTTTTTTTTTTATTTCACGTTTCTAACGCGTACTTTGCTTCTATATAAACGCGCGCGCGCACACATATTGTATTCTTCCCTCGTCGCGACTCAAAGAGAAATCGAGCACTTTTAGTAGTATTATTCGTGTGTGGTCAGACATGTACTCATCCTTTATTTCTATTTGTCTTTTTCTTGACTTCGCGACACATTTAGGAGACTATAACGCTTTTTTTCAGGTTCTAATACAGCAGCTACAAAAAAAGCAACGTACAGACTCGAGCGATATAATCATCAAGAGTGTTTATTTATTTATTTATTTTTTTTTTTATCAAACGTTACGTTGTGTGAAGGGGGTATTAATTTTTAGCGCGTTATTAAACTCATTTATTAGAACGCTCGAAAAATTTCGAAAGTAATTTAATCCAAGTGCAACTTGCGGCTAGCGTTTCATTAAGAGTGATATTTATTGAAGTTACTGTACCGGTTTACATGCATATTCATTTGCTAAAGTTGGGCACTTGACACCATCAGCGCGACGGACGTAATAGAGCAATAAAATGTTCTCTGCATTCGTAATCAGAAGAAAAATTCCAAAAAAAGTGTTCGTCGGAGTGACAAATTTATAACTCAATGATACACAAAATTTCAAAGCTATAGAAAATTATTCTCTTTTATTTTGCGATAAAAAAAAAACTGCACCAATTTTGCAACTAACTACTACATTTTTCAATAAGATAACAATATCGTAATTTGGATAAATTTCACCCCATCAAACATATTATTTCGACAATTGACAATGATTTTGATCTTGTTTATATACAATAAGAAGATCATTTGCTTTTGATAGGTCAAAAATCGCGTTTCTAGACGGTAAAAGATAACATCTCAAAATTACACTTTTTTCGACAGAACTGGATGATCCTGCGCGCTTCGGCAGTAGAGATAACTTGCGAAACATAATACCACGTTCTCTTTTACGGTTGCTGGGATTATGATGTATTATTACGATACCACAGCAGCTACCTACAAGCTATCAACAGGGCTGCGGAGAGAGTCTATAGTGAAAGCAACAGTAACTTAAATTATAAAGAAAGAAAGAGAGAGAGAGAAAAAAGATTTTTATTGAATGCTGAAAATATGTTCAGAGAAAAATACTCCAAATAGCAGTACGTGCCTTAGAGCTAGTGCAGCAGAGATAGCATAGTTTTTTCTTTTTAGATCTTTTGAACGAACTAGTCTAAACTTTCTGCAAATAACACATCAACCTGATTTCTTTTGTTTTGTTTCGCAGTTTGATATTTAAAATCTTTTGCGGCGATACGTCCGCATTCTTTACCCCCGAAAATGTAACGTTTATTGTAATTTTATCTTGGTAGCATAATATGTGTGTATTAGTGTATTTTATTCAAGATAGAGAGAATACGTGCTTCCCAAAAAACTAATCTAAAAAAGTTACCACAATGCCACCAATTTGAGGCCCGTAGTGCTATGTAACAACGTTGTAAAAAATTTTCACGAGCAAGATTTTTCGGTGAAACTTGTTATAATACTCATCCCCCTGGCTTGTGTTAAGATTCCTGTCGCTTTACTACCGTGTCGCTCGCGCGTGGTATATTATTAACGGATTTCCCTGCAATCGTATCATTCCCCGTTCATTTTTTAACAAGCATATCAGATTATACGTCAAAGAAATGAGCCAGCCGAGACACTGATATAATCTTAGTTTACGATTTTCTGATAGCGCAGCTAACATGAATCAGGATAAAATGATTTTTCCTCTTATCGCAAATATTGAATTAATAATGCTCTCTAACTGCATCTTCCGAGCAAATATTTAAAGGTCTTTAGTAATGTAAACTTATCATCTCGACGTAAATTATTACAAATCATTTGCCACGTAAAATACTCTACTTTAGGAGGTAATAATATTCGTTTTCAAAGTTATCACTTAAAATAGTGAAAAAGTCTGTAAAATTTACAGCTGTAGAATTCGAAAGTTCACAAAATTTCATATTTGATCTATGCATCCCTTATTTTTGGCGTACGCAAAAGAAACAGGAAATACTCTTGGCACGAATTTCGACGTTAAATTCTCGAGTGACTAATTTGCAACAAGTGGTATCTCCCTAGTACTAACTTATGTTATAGATTATTCTTCGTAACGTCATGATTTACAACACGGTAACTTTTACGACGACGCAACGTATAACATATGCAAGCATGACAAGTCTATAATTCACACAAATTCTATAGTTGATTTTACGTGAAATCCGTTCATTAATGTAAAACAAGAAAAGTTTGAAATTAACTGATATAGAATTTAGTCATCAAACAATGTGCAACGAGGATGTCTTCAATTATTCACTTGATTCAATAACGGTTCACCTATTCATCCGTTTAAAAATGTAATTAAAGATCCCAATTAAAGTATGCATTGATAATTACACAATCTGAAATACTATAATTTTTATATAAAATATTTTTTAGCGAGTATTCTCAACGAGAAAAATTCTAAAAATTCCGTCGGAATGCTCACTCGGATGGCTTTTGAATAATTAATTAACCAAAATTAAAAAAAAAAAAAAAAAAACTAGTTCATCTCGTCCTTTTTACAAGGTGCAAATTTCGTCGTCTCTCTCTGTTACTTTATTAAAAACGCGAGTTTGAAAATACAGTCCGAAATGTCGCTCTACTTTAGCACGCGCAGCAGCAGCCCGCGTATGTGTGTGTGTGTGTGTGTGTGTGCGCGTGTTCACGCCCCTCAATTTTGAGCGCGTAATTTATATCAACGACCACCACCATCCACGCGCGTATACATCAACAAACGCGAATTTATGGCAGCGTCGCTCTATAACGCACGCGTACACGTACACACGTAACAGAGAGGCGAGAGAGAGAACGCGCGATAAAATTAAATGGACAAAACGAAAAGAAAAAAAATTTATTTCGTATACCCGCGGTCCAGAAAGGATCAATAACGTCAGCAAAGAGAGGGAGCGAGTGAGAGAGAGAGAGAAAAGGGAGAGCAGCACAGCGCGAATACACGGACTCTCGGTATTATACGTTTGAGAGCAGTGCCAGAGCACCTTTTGCTCGTATATATGTGCACTACGTATAGCGGAGTATGCCGCGCGCGCGAGAGAGACAGAGAGGAGAGAGCGAGAGCCAAGGTCGGAGCGAAAACCACCCACTAAAAGGTGCGAGATTTAATCGTTTATCGCTGTGTGCGTGTCATGTGTGCTCACGCGCGCGCGCGCAATTCTACCACTGCTGCTCTACACGCTTTGGGATATAACGTGTAAAAAGTTAGTGAATCGAATAGTCCGCGCGATTTATAGATTTAACCTTAATTTTTTTCTTCTCTCTCGTCTCCCCCTCGCGGATAACGTGGCATCTTATATCGCGCGGTATTGACCGTGTATAGCCGTTAAGTTCGTAAGTCATTTTCGAAAGGAGCGCGAGGGGGCATTTATTTCAATCGCGTCGCGCGCGCGCGGTATTGGTACACGTTTTTCATCGTGCTCCGTCGCCCTTTCAAACTTTTATATTACTTCGGGAAGTGATGTATTTTTCTTTTTTTTTTTTCAAACAAATTGCGGTGAAACAACAAGTGACAACTAACTGGTAACAATTTGCAACGCATTATTACATGCGCTTTTACTTTTATCCCTTTGCACTTCCTCTAACTCTTTTTTTTCTCCCTCTCTTACGTGTCTACTTTTCCTTCCCACTTGTTCAGCTAAGAATAGTAGAGAAACAAGTGACCCGAGCTTAATAATAGCATTTACAAACCCACGCAAACACATATAAGTGCTCGTACCTCCCTTTTGTGAAGGTACATCGAGTATATAAAGGTAAGACATAACTCGTACGCGCGTGTCTGTCTGCGTTCAATAATTTTTGATAATTTATTTATAAAAATAAAAGTATATTTAGTCGGCATCGTTAATGTAAGTTTGATTTATTTTCATTTTCGTTTTCGAAAAATGAAGCAACATTTGGGAGAAAAAAAATTATAAATATTGATAAAAATACGATCATATGGAACTCAGAAAGATAAGAGTACAGAGTTACGATAACGAACGTAACATCGATTTTTTCGAGTAATTTTTTTCAGCACGTTATTGAAAGGAAGTTCTCACGCAAAAAGTATACATGAACGGGCACGATAAAAATCATTGAATAGACTTAATGTAATGGACCGTATACCTGCATGTTCGACATTTTTTGAACAGAATTTTGCGTAAAATTCTAAAATGTGACGTTTGAATGTTACATTTTAGATTCCCGTTAGAGAATTAGAATAAAAATAACTTTATCAAGACTTTTTTTTAAATTATGGAGAGTTGGAAATTGATATTTTCATTAATTTGTTTGAATTGCAAATCAAACAGGTAAGAAAATAACGAGGAAAAATAACTTACTTTCATCTGTCTGTGGCGCAGACAAAATGGCACTGTGCTTTTTCTTCACTTCTTCTACATTTGTTTGTATTTTGTCTATCATTTCTCGTATCTCCTCCACCTATAAAAAATAAACCATCATATAAAAAGATATTTCACGTTTGAAAAGGTGTTCTTAAATATATGAATAAATGATAAAACTTTATAACAAAATTTTTAAATTGCAAAGACTAAGGAGGGAGTAGATGGATGGTTGCATTTTAAGGTACTAACTAGCACAAACTAATCGTTTTGCAATCTCTTAAAAGTTTTTAGTAAAGAGTATTAATAATTGTTTACAATAGGATAAATAAAAACTATTTAACAAATAAACAATCTAAATAAATCAGTAAAATTTCTTTATTAAATCTGTGTGTATTTTAAGTAATATCATTAATTTGAACGGCTAATTATACTGTTCTTGAAAATTATAATCTTTATCTACGTAAATACTTGAACTTCTCGTTTTATAATGCGGCATGCTATTTAAATCCCTCCACTAACTATGTATACTCTGAATTGAGCAGTAAGTAACGGTTTATCTATGCTTTGATGTTAAAAAAAATGTATGAAAAGTGACCGGGAATCTCGTAATTGAGTTTTTACTTTAAAGAACGAAAAGTCCACAGTCTCTGCCTATGCACATCCGAATGTTTTTCCTCATTACGATATTTTTTCAATTTATCTAAAAATCATAAGTCATCTGACATTTCTGAACGTAATAATCTATTAGCTCGAGCGTTTATTCGTAAGTTCACTAGCTTCGCGAAGATCCAGGTCGAGCGAATTTTATTTTCTCTTTACCTATTTTTTGATTACTGTATGTGTCTGAGCCAGCACTTATGCTCTCACACGTACGTGTGTGGGTGCGCGCGCGAGCTTGTGTCGCTCGTTAACCCCGATCGTTCTAATGAATCCCGATGAATAGAAGAAGAAAAAATAAGTAAGTGCTTTATACACGACTGCCTAATATCTATAGTACAACATGCCGTGAGATGAATTTGATTTTTTTCACCCTGTCATTATTCAAATAATACCCCCGACCTTTCAGAGAATACGCGAAATGTGTTCAATGTCATTTACAACAATGAAAGTTTTTCATAATTAGCGAATCTATTAATGTGATTTAATCACTTAAGCAACAAAATTGGGCGTGCTTACTGAGCTAAATGGTACTCGTGAATCTGAAGCTTTTGATTTATAGTATTAATTAATGCGCCCACGAGCTTCAAAAATAACGCCCTACATTATTTCTACTATTTTGAATTATGTACAAAATATCGTTTGCATCATTTCATTAATTAAAACTTATTAAATTTTGATGCAAAAATGTTTCTAATCGTTGCTGTGACCACTTTATTATAAAGTAATTATTTCGTTTTCTTTCGCTCGTATGAAAATAAAGCTTAACTACGACCAGGAGATGCAGATCTTTTTCATCGCAATGACAATAGAAATATATGAACAAAAGTGAGGGCACTTAAACAAAAATCTACGAGTAAAAGTTGGCAAGGATTTTTTTTTTAAAGTAGTTTTGGGGCTGAGTATCAAGTTCTCTTGGGTTTCATGTTGTACCAATAGATAAAAATTGAATGAAAAACGACACGTTCAAAAGCGATAGGAATTTACACATACAGTAATGCGAAAATAAAGAACGTTTAAGATCACGTGTCGAATGTGAACTTGCGGCGAAGCGAAGGCAAACGAACACGTGATCTTGATTATTCTTTTACTTTATCAAGATGGATATACGATCTTTTCTGAATCTTTTAGTAGAAAGTGGCAATTTTATTCGGGTCACAGTTCTTATTTCTCAAGGTTTATATTAACTAAATATAGATTGCATAATGAATTGGAAAAAGCCTAGAGGACAATTAAGGACAAAGGTAAATTATGAATTTTGATATCATATCCGTACCTCTGCAAAAAATTCTGTCATGAAGTCCGAATCCTGGCCTCCCATATTGACTGAAACTTCATCCGCCACATCGTCGTCGTCCGACTGTGCCTGAAATTCAAAGTAGAAGCATATATTAATTTTTTTGTCAACATTATTAATACTATAATGGTTCAAGAGTGCGAAACGATAAAAATGGTTTAAAATGTCAAGTTTTTAATTTATGAATAACAACATTTTATGGATTATTTAAACAAAACTTATTACTTCAATTAAACCAATTAATATGAATAATTGTATTTAATAAATATTCTTTGACTCAATCTACACACAAAATAAAAATGATTATTTTTACTATCAACAATAGAATAAAGCAATAAGTTCGCTCTTGCTAGGTGAAGATAGTTTAATTTATCAGGTCAAGATCTAGCGCAATAACGCGATTATAGAGCATTATGCTGGCGAGAAAGAGCAAGCATCAGGAGCAGAAGAAGTCGTACAGCGGTATATATACAACAGCCAAGTAGGTATCAAAACATACCCGATATGTTGGATGGCGTCATGGAAAATAAGAAATTCACCATTTTATTGAAAGGTGGTGCTGATAGGTAGTTAAAAAATGGATCGAGTTGCGTTATAAGTCTCACATATTTCACGCAAACACCTCAAGACCTAGTTAGTGCTTTTTGATTACTTTCAAAAAGTTTAAAACGCATTTGAATATTGCAATAAACTGCAGAAACTTGAATTTTTACTTCAATTTGCGTTCGTGTAAAAAAAAATCTTGTGCTTTGATATCTCGAGTTTTCTTTAAATGAATTTTGTATTTAGAATACAGAATACAATTTCAATATACATTTCAGAATATATCTGATATAACTTGAACTTGAACTTTCAAAACTACTCTTTTATGATATTGATTAATCAAACTGCTCTGACCATCTACGCAATTGAATCTACGCAATATTTTTGCTTATAAAATTTCTACTTTTAGAGCAATGCATTACAAAACAAAAACTGATCATTCTGTGTAATTGATATCGATGAGGACATTACTTCATTTTTTAGAAAATAATCATATAAAATTGCAAAAAAATGACGAAATAAGATAGTCGACAAATAACAGTAAACATGTACCGTAAACTTAAATAACAGCTCAGTCGATTTCAAATGCTTTCGTGTTTTTTAATTGAGCATTAATTATTCAATAAAACGCAGTTATAGTAGTTACATTGTGAAATCAATTAATGTTTTTATTACATATTATCTCAGGCATTTATTCGATAAATCAATAGTTTATTGGATTTAATAATTATCTAGATTTGTCATTGTATGTCTGGAAACCTTTTTTATAATGAAAATGACATAAGGATCTTTATATGTATATTTTAATGAATGATCATTCAAGTAAGATATCAGCAGAGTAAAAATCATTGATTACAAGTGTGAATGAATCTTCTCAAAAGCCAAACGCAAATCAGCCTAGTTACTCATTACAAATAACGAATGAATCAGAGGTTACAGAAAAAAAATATTTGAAAAAAGATTATTGTGCATGAATCAATCTTTTCGAAATTTTTCTTCAAACGAGAAACTCTTAGAAGAGATAAAATTAGTCAAAGCACTCTTTTTGATTTATATGTATGGAGGTAAAAGGATGATAAACCCCTTTAAATTTCGAAATTAAAACGAGCTGTTATTTCTGCAGTGTTGTTTTTTTAACTCTGATTAGTAAAGTGTAAACGTGGTAGTTGCTTGGTTGGTTTACACGGGAATAAAAACTGTCTTTTGTCATTAAAAGAAGCGTTTCGTTTTAAGTGAACAACCTTTACTTTTTTTTTGCAACCCAGTCTAAAATAGCAAGTAAGTCTATTTTTAGTTTCTTGCGAGGAAAAGTACAAAATATGCAAATAAGCTTTTTGAGCAAGACATAAGACACACAATAATTACAATGCTGAGAACGAGATCCAAATTTTTTCGTCAAACAAATTGAAGTTGTAGGTAAATAAAAAAAAGCTCAAGATAAGGCTTACGAGTTAAGTTCAATATTGCCGATGGAGAAGATAACACAAGAGGTATGTATCATGAAATGTGTGCTATTTTCGTCGCGAGTACGAATAAAAAGTGACAGTTTCGCGACGATTTACTATTTAAAACGTGTTGGTATTTCGGGGTCACTCTTAATGAATTATTTCATTGTATTTACGTGCTGTCGTTAATTTTTACGTAAATGACAAGAAATAAAATATAAAAGGCCAGGCATTTCCACGTAACTCGTGTATGGAAACTCATGAGAAAAGAGCGCCTCTTCTACTTTTTTTTTATCACGTATGCAATTACATTATTTACATAACAAGTACAGAACAGAGCAGAATCAATGCTATCTTTATATAAGGTATATAACGTGTGTTATGAGTCAGACTCGCTCTCTGCCCGTCGCTCGCACACACACTATGCCGACCGACCGACCGACCGACAACATCGGTCGTTCATGTTGTCATGCAGGATATAGGCGTATCTCGTTTTTTTATCTCTCGCTAAATCGAACGACCAACTATTTATGTAGGTCATTTTGGTTATTGTTGAATCTACGGGTTTTTTTTTCGTAAATTTTGATGAAGGTAATATTCGAAAATATAACAATGGCTTATTTATATGGAAATAATGACGGGTAAACTTATTATTTTCGAATGTATCACGCACGACTAAAATCGAGTTCTGATCTCATTTACTTTATTTTTCACGAGAATAATTTTCTCGATTACAGCGACAACATTTCCGATTGTTGAGGATTAAGGTAATTTACATGCTTCACAATATCAGTAGGATAAATATACGGATAATGATGTCGACGGTAAAAATATCGAAGGAAAATAAATATTTTCTGCTTCGTGCAAAATTATCGAATCAACTTTTTTTGAAATGTTAATACATTTCTTTCAAAAAATATTGTACTTAATGATGATATCTGTCAATAAAATTTCAATCTTACAATGAGTTTTTCAATCTTCCTAAGCATTCGTTCTAAAATTCATCTTTAATATCGCGTCACATTTTATTATAACAGTTGAAGCTAACGACTAATAATTACCGCACAAATCCCGTCGGCATTAAAACTCAATTCATTTTTCAACCAATTTGCCAATTACAGCGCGTTGTCGCAAGACATCGCGTGATTACTATATAACTTTTTACAAATAATAAAGGAAAAGCGCGATGAATGGACGTTTCATTAATTCCTTTTATTTATCTCGACAACATCGTGACGGGTTCAACAAAATGACGTAAAAATTGTAATTACGGTATGTATACGTGATTCATAAATCGAGAAGAATGAGAACGAACGCGCGCGCGCTCGGTCGACACAAAAGCACGACGACGGGGGTATAAAAAAAAAAAAAATTTTTTTAAGAGATGCACTCGTGCGCCGAGAGCGAAAAAAGGGTTTCGTTATTAGGTTTTGCCGGTATGCAGAGAGAGAGACAGAGAGAGAGCTCCGGTAATGTGCTTGTGTGTATGCGACGGTATACAACAAAGAACTCGCGCAGCGAGTTTGGCGAATGTCATGGTAAAAAAAAAAAAATAGAGCCGAAGAATTAATATCTGAAAAGAAAATGATGGAAGAAAATTTTTTTCTCGAATCGCAACGAGGCTGCTGCATGTCGCGTACACAGACACACATGCACGAGAAAATCTCGCGAGTAAAGAGCCAATTGTGTCATTGTTAGAGCGTCGTCGTCGTCGTCGTCGAACGCAGACAGATCGCAATGGCAGTCGCGCAGACAAACGGATCGAAAGGCGACGTCGACTCGTCGTTCATGGGCAAGAAGAAGAAGAAGAAGAAAAAATAAGCATAGCCACAACGTGCGTCAGCGCAGAGGTCTTGAGTCATGTGTGTTATTACATAGGCAAACGCGCTTGTATATATCGCGCGTTGCACTTGCATCATATCGCCATCGGCAATGTGTCCATATATCTATACACAATAATAAACGGCGAGAAAAATGTCATCATTCGGCGCGTTAAAGGCCGTGAACGCATCGTATACACACACATAGACGTGCGCGCTCCTGTACATGTATCTGGCGTTAATCGTGCACTGTGTGCTGCTGCTAGCTCTCTGCATGCGCGAATCGTATTCGTACTCCGTACATATATATAGATAAATTGGTTTGGCGCGTATAAAACTCCCTCCCCGCCCCCGCGCGATAATCGGCGCGCATGTGCCGTGTCTGTCGATGGCTGTGTGTAAGTGTGCCTGTATGTAAAAAAGTGCACATAGCACCACCACGTTTGGGGCGGTAGCGATCGCTGTGCTGCACAAAACACAACGTCGACTATTGTGTGCGTGTGTAGCAGCACGAGGGGGTTGCAATCGTATAATATAATGCGAGTAACGACGGCGACGTGATCACGCGCGGTATACAATACAATACAACCCGACGTGGGGCTGTTATCGGCAGGATGAATCAGAAATCAGCAGAAGAAAAGAAAGAGTAATAATAATATCAATGACACGAGTTATACGTATGTAATGTATCGCGCGGCTCTGCTAGAGAGGCTAGTAGTGCAGCTGTGGCGGTGACGGCGCCGAGGATGAACCACCAAATAAAGGAGGCTTCCTCGCTTATCGAACGCGCGCCACACTGCTGCTGCTGCTGCTACTTTTGTGACCTAACTACATGTATACAATACATACACGCGCACGCGCTCGATCTTTCGCTCTCTCTCTCTCGCTTTTTGCACACATAGTTGGCGCGCGCGCACCTACACACACACACCTATACGTGCAAACATTTTAGATTGTGTATACGTGCACATGCTCGCGTCAGAGGTTGAATGTCGGTGTGTATGTGTGTCGGTATATAAACGTGTGTGTATAACACTGCTATATGAGCCATCAATGTTGCATGTGTGTATATGTAGCCAGTAGCATTGCCCGGTGTGCTGCTGTCTCGCGTGGCTCTTTCTCTCTTCTCTCATTATTATCTACGAAGGTGCACAAATCAAGCGTGCGTATGCAGAAAGATGAGAAAAATATTATGTAATTTTATCGGCTTTAAGGCGAACGAGAAAGACCGGAGGGCAGCGGAGATAGAGTTGAAAGATCAGGTACACAACGACGATGCACCTGTGTCATTATACGTCAAAAGTAAAAGTCAAACTTCAACGAAACCCTAAGCTCGTATAGGCGACGTATGAAAATGCACACGATAACAATGAAACAGAGAAAAACTTACGGCGACGAGCGCTGCTAATCTGTCCTTCGTCATGGTGATGTTTTGTATTCCTCTTCAACTACAAAAAAAAAGTCGAACGAATCAGCCTCTCTCTCCTCTCCTTCGCTCGACTCGCGAGCTAAGCTTTGCTGCTGCTTGCTCCGATGAGCGACGACGACGACGAAGAAGCCGGTATTATTACTGACGACACACACGCACGCACTCCTTGTTTCTTTTTTCTTCTTCTATCACTCGCTCGCAGCACGGTTGCACCGCGACACTGTGCACACGGATGAAATGATGCACCTGATCACTGTGCTATATGATGATATCGCCAACACCAGGCCAACACGCACAACCTCATGTAGAGATCCAAGAGGAGGAGAAACACACTCACTGGTACACTGACAGAAGAAACAACAACAATAATAACAATTCAGCAACGATTGTTGCTGCTGCTGGGTATATACTAATATCTCAACAATAACAACAACGAGGAGCTGACGCGAGGACTGATTCAAAGAACTCTTCACAGTGCTGCTAGAGTCTCTCTCTCTCTGTAGTCGATTTATTTTTGTACTGTGTATCTCCTTGTCTTTTGCCTGAGTAATAACAAAATTATTATTGTATTATCATTCGGCAACGATGACGAGAGACTCGCGCGCGCGAGGGGGTTCTCCGCCGCTGCGTTGTATACACTAGCTTCAACAACGACAACGAGTTGTAGTAGTAACGAAGAACAGCTTGACGTCGTCGTCGTCGACGTTGCTGCTGCTGCTGCTGCTGCTGTTTTTCGTTCTACTTTCAGCTTCTGGTGCTTCTGCTGCTTCTGCTGTCACACATCGGCGATCGTCGTCGTCGTTGTCGTTGCATAGGTTGCACATATGCAGCACACTAGACACACGCACACACAGACAGGCAAACGGACTGAAAACGGGCGCGCGTACTACACTGACACACAAACACACGCACAGCAGACACACACGCACTAGCTGCTTTTTTCACTCGCCGAGTCCGTTGTAAGTCTCATGTCGCTCGACGATAAATTAACACACACACAGACACTGGGCGCAGGTAGAGACGTAGCGTAGTAGTAGTACCGAATCTTGTACACACACACACACACAGGCGCCAGTATTTTTATATATATAAATGTTACGTTTATATATATATAATATAAAGGTGCGTGTGCTGCGCTGCGCTGCTGCTCCGAGTGCTGGGCACTTTCTGCGGGTTGTTGTTTACGCTTTGCTCGCGCGACGGCGACTACTCACTCGCTCGACTCTCTCTCGCTAATAGCGACGAGAATCGTTGCGCTGCTGCTGCTGCTGAGACGACCGTAGTCCGTTTCCGATATCGGGCGGTGGCAGCGTGCTGCTGCTGCTGCTGCTGCTGCTGACTGGTGACTGGTGGGCCAACGGTGCACACACGCACACCGCACACTGACACACGGGCACCGAGACGAAGGCAGGCATATACAACAACGACTACGGACACCACTATTATGTGTATATAAACCGATGATGTATGCACGCACACACACACACAAACAATCACGGGTATATATGTATATGTATACAACTTTACGTTCTGACACTCTGGTCTGTCAGTGTCTGTGTACGTGTATGTACGGTTGCGTATTATACAGCGGAGAGTCCCAAATAGGAGTCGGAGTCGGAGTCGAGTCGCGCGCGCGCGCCTGGCCTCGCTGCTGCTGTGCCGTCTGCAGACGCTCTCTTGCAGACTATACGGGCAGCTGTACTGCTATCTATATATATGTAGGTATGCGTGCGTGTGTGTGTGTAATGCTATGTTACGGTCAACGAGCGCCAAATTTCCTTCGGGGGTCCCGAGCACACGTCACGGGCGCGTGTCTGTGTGTGTGTGTGTGTGTGTGTGTGGACTCGACGACGACGTCGGCGCAGCGCGGCGTGTCGACGAGTTGATTTTAACAACGGTGCGGCAGATGCTCCTCCGCTGCTGACTGAGCAGATTTTTTAGCACCACCGACGACCGACTGCTGCTGCTGCTGCTTTTGGCATGTGTATTATATTATAATACGTTATAGCACGTGCGTGTGTGTGTGTGTGTGGTTTCTTTATATGCATGTATACAGTTGCCAGTTGCTACTGCTACTACTGGCCTGCTGATATACGTGTTCCGTTCTGTGTTCTGCTGGATGGATGCGCGCGCGCGAAAACCGACTTTTCTCTCTCTCTCTCTAAGGTTGCATACAGATATAGGTACACAATACAGTGGATAGAGAGGGCTGTCTTATATATAATATTTCGGAGCGCGCGCGCGTTGACGGTCAGCCCCCGTACTCCTCCTCTGAGTCACACACAATCGCGCATTCACTCACACGACGACCCTTACGGCATAAATGAGTACATGTACAGTCTCTCCGGAGCACTGTGTATTATAAACGAGAGGGTGTGTGTGTGTGCGGGCAGCTCGTGTCCCGCAGCTGTCTCTCTTCAGCACGCGATGATTAGCGCGACTAACGCATATATGTATAGGTACACACAGCTGTGTGTGCATGTGTATGTGTGTGTGTGTGCGCGCGATACAAAATATATATGAGGCAACCGTCGACGACGACGACGACGACGACGGTGGCTCTCGGTACGGCTCTCGGCTCTCGCGCGTGACACTCGCCACTCTGCCAGTGTTGTAGTACTATATAGCAGTGGTATAGTACCTTATACGCTACACACGTTCAGAGGCTCTCTCTCTCTCTACTCCGCGTCGTCGTCGTCGTCGGGATCGTAAAATCGATACCCGACAGAGAGAGAGAGAGAGAGAGAGAGAGAGAGAGAGAGAGAGAAGAGAGTGAACATACAGCGCCATGCTTCATGTTAGGTATAACGTTGAAACGCTATTACTGTATATACTGCGGATTTGCCTCAAGCTGCTGCTGCTGCTGCTGCTGATTCGCAAAACCGCCTCGTTATTATAGGCAGCGAGTAAACTCCTTTTTGGCCTTTATATGCGCTGCTGCTGTGTGTCACGTGTGTGTGTCTCTCCCTGTATGCTCCAAACGGATGATAACGATATACCTGCAGGTAGTTATAGAAGCATTGATATAGACGTCTTATTATAATATAATAGCAGAGAGATATATAGACGAGCTGTGCAGTCTGCGTCTTATGTGATACTTGATAAAGGCGGGCGGGTTCTCCTCCAACCTTCCACCCCGTTGTTGTAACTTGGACGACTTCGCGTTTCTTCCCTTCGAGACTCCCTTTCTTTTCTCTTTCCTTCTTCGCATCCATGCGATATAACATTAAAGAGTCGAGGAGTGCGTGTGTCGTGGGTAAAGCCCGTTTCCCGCGGATCCGGTGACTCAACAACGGCAGCGTAACTCACCTATAAATATAAGGTATATCACATTATAATGGATACGACGACGTCGTATCAACAAATCTTTCGGAGCTTTTTGCCGAATGCCGCTGCTGCTATTTATATAAAACGAGCGACGTTAATATAGTAGTCGTGTCCGTGCGTTGTTTATCCTCCGCATTACAATGCACGAGAACGAGCCCGCCTCCGCAGCAGCAGCAGCTAATTAAAAGTCGGCGCGGCGCCTCGGCTCCTAAAATCCAAATTCAATTTTGTACAGTAACGAAGTTTGGATGCGAGCGCAAGCGCAGTTATTTTTACTTACCCGATGGCTCGTTTTGAAGCTTTTTCTTTACTTCCATTTTACAAAGCTCGAGAAGCTTTCGTACGCGTGTCCTTTTCAAGAAATGAAAAAACCGTTACGAAGCCTCCCCCGTGGAATTTGAAACACTCGATGCCTGATTATGTCCTTGACGAGGCGCGTATTCTATGCAGAATTATAAAAATGTATCAACGTTGTTGAATTTTCCCACAAATAATTCAAGGAGAAACATACGGATCAAATAGTAAACTGTAAAAAGATTACCTGTATACCGACGATCGCACGAGTTTGGAGCTCGCCGCCTACTCGCGAATGGCGCCAAGAGTCGCGCCAACGAATTCGCAACGGAATTTATAGTACTCACTTCGAAAGAATCTCTCGACTACAAAATGAAATTTATGACGACTGTAAAAATTCACAGAAAACTCTTTTCGTCGTATGCAACAGATCTGCACTCTGACTTTTGCTCACCATGGTTCGCTGGAAGAACTTTGCGAATTCAAATTCTGTCGCAGCAGCAGTGTCCAGCCAGAGAATAATTCGCCAACGGCCGGTGGCGCTGTCTGCGCGCGCAGCGCCTCTCTCGCACTCACACAACACACGTCCATGTTCACGTGCTGCCGCTGAATTCCCGCGAAATTTTGCATCGAGACTGCGAGCGAGAGAAAGAGAGAGAGATAGACATATTAGAAACGACTGCCGAGCCGCCCTGCAGCAGCAGCACCGCACGCACAGCGAATCGTGAAACGTCCCTCGAAGCGGAGTCCGTAACCAACTCTCCGTATCATAGCTTGTGCGCGCGTATAATACATCTCGAGAAAAAAAAAACTGCGCTCTCGCTTGTTGTGTGTTTTTTTTTAATTGACCAACTGGACCTGTCGTTATCACACGTAAGTTTATCATGAATCTCGTTTAGCGTGCGAATGTGCAAGAGAGAGAGAAGAAAAAAGTAGAGTACATGTATGTGATAAAATTATATCGCGCGTCGGCGGCGGTAGCAGCAGCAGCAGCGGCACACAAGCCGGCTTTTGTGAGCGGTTATGTTCGCTCGCTCATGTAGACAATTTCGATTGTTATTATTAAAAGAGATCAGGGTGGTTATCGGCGACGTTCAGCCGGTGTCCAAGACGACGACGACGACGACGACTACTTCTACTTTAACCACACACCCCGTGTAGGATCTCCGTTGTTTCAACCCCGCGCGGTTGAAACCTATACATTATCATTATTATTTTACCCCACAATAGACATGTAACACTCGTGTGTTACAAAGGCCCGTATATGGCTTTTTAACCGAACGCGGGCTCTCCGGGACTTACTCGCCGCGCCGCGCAACCGCCATACGCGCGCGCGCATTCCGTTACACACGTATTCGTACTATATGCTGATGATCATCGTTACAACACGACGGCATTAGTGTCGGCTACATTAAGTCGCTCGTTCGTTCGACTCTGGTACAGTATAATAATTGTAGGCTAGCAGCAGAGCAAGCAGCTCCTCTTCCAGCGTCGTCGTCGTCGTTTTGAGTTCGTGTAAGTTTTTTTTTCTTTTTTTATTACTTTTGCCTCGTGTTGCATATATTCACCGCGTCGTGCTACAACGCCAAGCGTTTCGGTTAATCGAGAGAGTGAGAGAGAGTATAAAGAGTGAGTGAGTGAGAAGAGAGACATCGGAGCACAACCTCGTGAACCGACAGACCGAGAGATACATCGAGCAGGTAAAACACGGAGAACGCCTACGAATTTCGGGAATTTTTTACATCGTCTTTGCGCCCTCGACCACGAGTTTTTCCATAATTTTTTTTTTAACTTGGTAATAATTTTCTGCTGCTGCTACTGTTGTTGCCTCGTGCTTCAGTGCCGAGTCATCACCAGGCCCGTGCCGCCGAGCATAGTCGAATCTTCGAGAATACATATATCTCTTGGCCGTGTACGTGTGCACGCGTCATTAGCGAGCCGTGGAATTTTTAACGCAACCACGCAGCCAACACACGCGCGCCGTATAACCTCATTTCGTCCGCTTTTTTTTTCTTCCTTCATCGTATACTTACCTTTGCTCTTGTGTGTTTGTTCTACGCAGGTGAGAGAGACCCTCGAGAGCGAGCGAGAGAAAGAGAGAGAGAGAAGAGAGACAAGAACGCAAGTCTTGTGTCAACCATCCGGAGAGAAGAGACATTTAATTTCTTTACATAAACAAAGACAGTCATCATGTCACAAGAGAACGATGTGCCAACATTCAAGTGCGTGCTGGTCGGCGACGGCGGTACCGGCAAGACGACCTTCGTCAAGCGCCACTTGACCGGCGAGTTCGAGAAGAAGTACGTGGCCACCCTCGGCGTCGAGGTGCACCCCCTCGTCTTCCACACCAACAGAGGCGCCATCAGATTCAACGTCTGGGACACCGCCGGCCAGGAGAAGTTCGGCGGGCTGCGCGACGGCTACTACATTCAGGGCCAGTGCGCCATCATCATGTTCGACGTTACGTCCAGAGTGACGTACAAGAACGTGCCCAACTGGCACAGGGATCTCGTGAGGGTGTGCGAGAACATCCCCATTGTGCTCTGCGGCAACAAAGTCGACATTAAGGACAGGAAGGTCAAGGCCAAGAGCATCGTTTTCCACAGAAAGAAGAATCTTCAGGTACATATTGCTTTTTATCGTGTTTTTCTTTTTTTTTCTACTCGGAGTCAGCGCAGACTGCATTTTATCATGATGATTCAGAGTACTTATGTGTTATGATGACAAACAACTGTCCCTCTAATCTGAATTTATTTAAATTATTCATTTTATGATCAATCCGCATGCCTTCTCTCGCTCATCTATATTCATGAATCATTTTTATTATTTCAGTATTACGACATCAGTGCAAAGAGTAATTACAATTTCGAGAAGCCCTTCCTGTGGCTTGCACGAAAACTTATCGGTGATCCCAATCTGGAGTTTGTTGCTATGCCTGCTCTCCTTCCCCCAGAAGTCACAATGGACCCACAATGGCAGCAACAGATCGAAAAAGATCTCAAAGAAGCTCAAGAAACAGCTTTACCCGAAGACGATGAAGATTTGTAGTTACTTTATGTACAAGTATGAGTGCTCAAATACACACAAACTTGCGTTTCGCCTAGCCACCTAGGACATCTTTATTTTTTTATTATTATTGTTTGGATTTACAATTAACTTGTTCATATACTGCAACTCTGATTCAAATTGAGAGTAAGCTTAAAATAAATGTAAATTTGAACACTTTAAATTATGAAAATAAAAGGTTTTTGTACAACTCAGTCTTTTTTCTTAAAGAGTAAATTTACAATGCAAGTAGTTTCAGAATAATAAGCTTTGAAAGTAAAGAATCATGACACGAGTATATGTGAGAATTTAAATTTTCTATGTAATGTGTTGATAAAAATTTTAATTTAATGAATGTAAGTTTGAAGTGATTGAAGTGTGTCTTATGAAATAGCATGAATTCGTTTAAAAGAATACTCTGTATTAATTGTAATATTTGTCTGAATCAAATAAATGGTATCAGCTTGTAAAATTTTTTTATTTTTTCAATTTTTGATTTATAACAATGAAACAAAGATATTTATGTTTGCTACTAGGTCCACATTCTATTTAATGTAACAAAATGAAAAAGTTAAAATATTACAAAACTTTCACAAAAACAAGGTAGCAAAGTTGTGAACTCACTGCTAATGCAGACTTATTCAGATAATTATCAACTAGCCTGGCTAAAAATTTTATTAACCAAAGATTTTGTTTAATTAAAAGTAAGTTAACTATAATACAGGTTCTAACATAGATGTCGATAATGTATCGCATAGCTCCAACTTATGCTTTTTGTTTTCTCTCCAATTTCTTCAAACCCTTCTTGCCTTCAAGGACAACAACTTTATCTTGTTCAGTCAAGGGTTTCAAAATATTTGTAATGACGCCAGTGCCAACAGTTGTATTACCATCTCTCAAAGTGAAACGCTGTCCCTTTTCACACACCATATTTTTGAAGAGCTTCAGTTCAAACCTTGAAAATATTCATAAAATGAAATAGACATCGAAATTAGTATTAAAATTTGTTTGATAATAAACTCACTTGGCATCTTCACCAGGCATGGCCATATTTTTGCCAGGTACCATAATTTGGGCTGGGCAATCCCATGTTTTACTGAACATTACCAATTGGACGTAGTCTGGAATTGGTTTTTTTCTGCCACCTTCCTCAGGTGTTAAAACGTATACCTGAGCTTCCACATGATCGTGAGCTTTGATTGAACCAGGTTTGCACATAACCATGCCTCTTCTGATATCTTCCCTCTTGACTCCTTTTACAAGAGCACCCAATTGATCTCCAGCTTCTGCAGTGTCCAAGATTTTGTGGAACATTTCGATACCGTTGATCATACTTTTCATTTGTTTATTGTATCCAATAAACTCAACTTCTTGGCCCTTCTTCAATTTTCCTCGCTCTAATCTACCAGAGACTACTGTACCTCTGCCAGCAATAGAGTAAGTACCTTCAACTGGTAATAGGAATGGCTTGTCCAAATCTCTTTCTGGAACAGGCACATGTTTGTCTACTGCATCCAATAATTGCATGATAGCATCGCTGCCAATTTCTGGACTTTTGCCTTCCAAAGCACTGAGAGCACTGCCTTTGACAATTGGTACATTTTCGCCATCCCAACCCATTTCTGTCAAAAGCTCTCTAATTTCCATTTCTACAAGCTCCACCATTTCAGCATCAGCAGCATCCACCTAGTTATAAGAAATTTATTTAGTTCAAGAAAATTGTAAAAATTAAATTAAAATGCAGTATAATTATTTATATTACCTTGTTAACAAAAATAACAATATGCTCAATACCAATTTGTTTAGCAAGAATTAAATGCTCTTTAGTTTGTGGCATAACACCATCAGTTGCAGCAACAACCAAAATAGCACCATCCATTTGAGCTGTACCAGTGATCATGTTTTTGATGTAATCAGCATGGCCTGGACAGTCAGTATGTCCATAATGTCTGTTGGCAGTTTGGTACTCTATATGGGCAACGTTGATTGTAATACCACGAGCTTTTTCTTCTGGAGCATTATCAATTTCATTGTAGTTCTTTGCCTTAGCCAATTCTTTCTCTGCCAGTACTGCAATGAGATATGTTACCATGAAATTAAATTTTGACTCTTGTGCCATTGCAGTCAATTTCTTCACATGATGTAACATTACCTTTAGTTATAGCGGCTGTCAAAGTAGTTTTACCATGATCAACATGGCCAATTGTTCCAATGTTCACATGGGGCTTGTCTCTGCTGTAGACAACTTTTTCAGCATAGAATCTTTGAGCTGTTACTTGAGGTAAGTAGAGCCTGGAGCATGTTTGGTTTCTTCGATGCTAGATTCAAATTGATCAATTGATTACTCACATTGAATGTATTAATTCAAAATAATGTAACAATGACATTACTATATTTACTTGAATAATACTTTTAGAAAGAGTTTGGAAAAAAAGATCATTTAGCAAAAGTATGATATGCTTACATATTTGGTAATTTGTCTGACAAAGTTGAGTTGCCTGGCACCCTGACGCAGAGCTAAAAATTGTTAAACAATTTTGATTAGTAAACATTACTTCAAAGTTAGCATCAGATACTCCATCCACGATATCCGACTGCTATGTAACATTCGACGAGACACGACAAAAAAGAACACACGTGAAATTACGGAGCAAGAGAGCATCGATTCGCGGCATTTGTCTTTGGTCGCATTCTCGCGAGTGCAATCGGGGAAAGCACGAGGGGTCAATCTTACCGGGGTACAGAACGATTCTCGATGCATTCAATGCCATTGTCGACGATGACTTTATTCCCTGACAAAAGCTGACGAGATCTCGAGTGACTCTTTTTTTCGCCGAGTTGTAATGGAGCAGAAACGTACAACGAGTAGTGCTGCGGCTTCTTTAAGAGTTTTGCGTGCGCGGTTATGTCGATGTGTGCGTAAAAACGTATACGAGGCGGAATTATCACCATTCGCGGAGTCTGAAAACGAGTTCGCGCGAGACACCATTGATGGCAGCACGTCGCGAGCGCGTTTTTCAATGCAAAATTGCTCGATTTAGCGCAATATTTTGCTAAAAGTTATTTTTCGTGTTTTTTGCTGCTGTCGAATGAATATAATCCAGATTGATGTATAGTGATAATTTTTTATTTAGTAAAATACTTTGATTGATTTTAATTTTAATTAATTTTTATAATTTAAGTTACGTTCGAAAATTTTAATTTTATATTTTTTGTTACTGCCTTCTAAGATGCAAATCATCTATAGGAGAGTAGTATCTGAGATGTCTGAGAAGCTTTTCTCTTTGATTTTTCCGAATGTCACGTTAAAAAACTGGTTTGACAGAGTTACAAGAACGAATCGAAGTAGAAAACTTTTTGATATTTTATTGTATGCATTAAGGTTTTTTTACAGTCTCGACAAAATTAAGTAACAACATTTTGAAACATTTTATTTTTCTTCGTCAAATTTACACAGGACATGAAATTATTCTGGTATTTTAAATAATTTGTGGTATAAGTCACTGCGGATGCGCTGTATTCACGTGCCGTCGGAATTTATATTGGTATCCAAAGGATTTGTGACAAACCTCGCACTCATAGGGTTTGATGTCATTGTGTACTTCGTTCATGTGATCTTTGATGCTACTTTTGTATGCGAATGATTTTCCACAAATATCACATTTGAACGATTTGCCCCGATGTACCGCCGCGTGAATTTTGAGGTAATCTTTGTTTCCAAATGCTTTGTGACAGATGGTACATTCGAAGGGTTTGCTGCGAATATGTATTGCTCTTATGTGAGTTCTGAGGTGATCTGGACGAGTAAATGTGCAGTGACAATCGTTACATTCGTAGGGTCTGCTACGATCATGTGCTGTGTTTGTGTGCTTTTCGAGATCACGTTGGTATTCAAATGATCTGTGACAAATGTTACATTGGAAGGGTTTGATCCGATTATGTACTGCTTTTATATGACTTGCGAGGGTAGTTTTTAGTTTGAATAATTTGAGACAAGTCGCACACTCGAAGGATCTTCTACCCATATGTACAGCAATTATGTGATTTTTCAGGTTGTACCGCTGCGCAAAGAAATTGTGACAAATGTCACATTCGTAGGATTTTTTACTATAGTGTACAGCATTTACGTGTCTATTGAGATCACCTCTAAGTGAAAATGATTTGAAACAAATTTGACAATCCAAATGTTGGGTACAATCATTTACTAAATTTATGTGTCTTTTCAGATACCCTTTTTGTGAAAAAAACTTGTGACACTTGTAACATTCATATGGTTTCTTGCCCAATTGTGCAGCTCTTATAAGGCTGAATTTTCTTTTAAAAGACTTTCTCTTTTTTTTACCCTTGTTAGATAATTTGGTTTCAGATGTTTTTCTTAGTATTTCTGCATCGTTATGTTCTTCAATCTTCATTTGAGAATTTACTTGAAATTGACAGTTATTGTCGTAATCAAATTGTTTCTTTATCAAAATTATCAAATTTTTATCATTGAAATAATTAGTCTGGTTCTTGTTTTCTATTTTGGATGAATCACTGGATTGATGACTTGGATTCTCAGTACTGCAGACAATTGTCGTTAAAGGCTTTGGATCAGGTTCAACATTTTCAAGTATTTTTGCATCCTTATGGGTTTTAATCTTCATTTTGAAATTTGTTTGAAATTGACAGTTATTGTCATAATCAAAATGTTTCTTTATCAATATTATCAGATTTTTATCATTCGAATAATTAGCCTGATTTTTGTTTTCTATTCTGGATGAATCAACCGATTCATCAATTGGATTCTCAATATTGCATACAATTGTTGATAAAGAGTTCAGATCAGCTTCAACATCTTCGCACTCGATTTTATCATTCAAATAATTAGACTGATTTTTGTTTTCTATTCTGGATGAATCAACCGATTGATCAATTGAATTCTCCATATTGCATTCAATTGTTGATAAAGGGTTCAGATCAGCTTCAACATCTTCGCACTCCAAATTGATGAAGACTTTTTCCTTTATTTCATTGATTTGGTTTTGGTTTTCTATTTTCACAATGGGTTGATCATTTTGGTATTCAATTTTACAGAAGTCTCTTGATAGAAACTTTGGTTCAGGTTTAATATCTCTGCACTCGTAATCAATGAATCCTATTTCATCGATCTCATTGGTCTGACTTTTGTTTACCACCTTCACAGCGGGTTGATAACTTTGGTGCTCGGTTGCCAATAAGGATTTTAGATCTGGTTTAACATCCTCACATACAAAATCGTGAACAAATTGTTTAATTAATCTTTCCTGTAACTGCAAAGCCCAATGTGATTTGCCTGATATTAAAATTTTTCATCATTAGAATCATTGAACTCACCGATGATTCATAAAACGTGAAACTTTCGGCTTTACAAGAAACCTCAGCAAGGAAATTTTTGTCGTCTTCTTCATCTGACGAACTATCGCTCGACTCTTCCTTCACCCTAGAATCGAAATTTTTATCGTCGTCTTCATCTGACCAATTATCGCTCGATTCTTCCTTCACTCTAGAAAATAATTAAGTTTAATGAAGCGATCGTTCAAGAGAAAATATCATGGACTGCACAAAAATGTTATACCTAACTATGTCCCCGCTGTTTTCCATCACCAGAACTTTTAGTATAATCGAGGTTAAACGCCTCGACTTTTATTATAGACCTACTTACTTTTTTATGAATGTTGTTTTTAACCCGTTTATTTTGTTCAGTGAGAAATTTAGCTTGTCGTTAGCGAGTGAACGCACTACTCGTACACATTAGCGAGATGATCTCGGGTTTGTTATAAGTAACTCCTTGACGATACTTTCGTACTCTCGGCCCTCTACCGTCCACTTGCCATACGCATATGAACTGTATTTGTTTACATGATATAAATCACAGCTCAAAAATATATTGCGGTGAGAAACTGTGACTTTTTTTTCTGCTCACAAATCTATTGTTTGATGACTACGAAGACTATCGCTGCTACAATGAATGAATAGAAGAAAATTAATCTCGAGTCGTTTTAGCATCAACTTTTTCATCAGAATTTTCGATTCATTTTTTTCGCGAAAGATATATCAGCAATGATAGTTCTCGTGAATATAAAATTTAAAATCACAATTTATAAGGACTCCAATTATTGAAGGAGTTGACAAAAAATACCATTAAATATTTATAAATTTTTAAAAATCAATTATTATCGATTTCTACCTGCTAATTATAGTATTTGTTTCAAGACGAACGTTCCATAGAAAAATATAAAGCCTACTTGAAGCATAACAAAACTAGGTAATCTTTTTAAAAAACAATCGACTAATATCGGATGAAATAAATTTACAAATTTCCATTTTTCTACATTATTATTATCTCTCTTGCAGTAGCGAGAGATAGATAATAGGCCGTGTAACGAATATTAAATCCAACCAGATCGATTATGCCCACGCTTTCAGCTCGATCTCAACAATAATGAAAAAGAGATCCAAAGTTTCGACAATGAAAAAAATAAAAGAAAGAAAAACTGGAACATCTACTTTTCACCAAAAGTATCACGGTACGCAGCACACGCACACGCACACGCACTCGCTGCTCTTTGGGAAACAACCTCGCGGCTGAATCCCAAAGAATAACCTACTGAACTTCTTCCACATATTGTTTTCTAATTTTGCGAGAGACGCGAGGGAGAGAAGATAGTTTTACAAAATTGCGCGTGCAAATATACAAACAGGAACGCATCGTTTCGTGCGTGAACATAACATATAATAATATTATACATGTATCTATATCGTGAGCCCGCAGGTGGCAATTGAATCGCTACCGCACAGTCGATCGCAGTAGGATATATATAATTCGAAATTTCGCACGGCACCGTTGCGGAGGCGCATCATCTCTCTCTCGGATTAGTTTTACCTCTATAAATTGTTGGGCAAATTGAAATTATCACTTTAGATGTAACTATATAAGTCGTATATATTTACGGCGTATTTGCAATGTGTACCAGCGCACGCACAAGATTAACGGGCTCCCGATTTCCATTAAATCCTCGGGCACTGTAGTGCGCAGTTGCATATAAATTGCAGTCGTAAAATTACGTCGCCTTTTACTTCGCTCCGTATACACACTCGTATCCATACGCAAACTTTTTTTTTCTCAATCGTATATATAATATTTTCCTCGCATCGAAAAATCTCCGCGCGCCGATAATTGACTTCGACGATCGGCTAAACCGATTTCCTTTGTAATAATAATATACATATACGCGCGCTTCCTTTTGTTCAGAAGCTCCGAAGCGAAATGAACGTAATAAACGCGTATAATATAAGAAACGGTGCGCGAGCGCCTTGATTACGTTCGATTAAGATATAAGCGAATCAAAAGTTTTCAAGATATATTTTTTTTTCTATGTACGCGCGCGGGGGAGCGTGCCAAGCGTATATAGCACGCAGGCAGGCAAAGGCGCGTGTCGGATTTTCATCCTGCGCAATGATTTTCTAGCTGCTCTATCTCGTGCTGCGGGCTCGCGATTTTATTCATTCATCCTGTCTCTCTCTCTCTCTTTCTTTCTCGACTTTTCTCGCCACTGAGCAGCAGCAGCAGTAGCACATCACACACATGCATCACTTTGCGCAGAGAGGCGCGAGCAGAAAGAAAAACGATTCACCCGAACGGGATATCCGAACCGTTAAATCGTTATTTCGTTCGCGCTTCGCTTATGCAGATGTATATGTAGGTATGAAAAATCTGCTTTTACACGTGATGCGCGCACACACACACACACCTACGTGACGATCAGAAAATACAATTGAATGTCGTTGCATCGCTCAATATATCTTTTTTATGCATTAAACTGATCTATTTCGATCGTGTGTTTACAATTTCATCGACTCTCGCCCCCTAGCGTTCGACGTTATAACACAACGATGCAGATGTGATATTAAAGCATTGTTCGCAAAAGTTTATTAAGGATTTTCATACATCCTTAACTATTTTTTAGGTACTATATTGTTTTATTAATTATCGTTTAATTTTATAAATATTTTAAAATTCACAAAAACTTTGAAATATTTAAATTAACATTAATTTAGAGAGTTCATTTTCATAAAAACGCGATTTTACACTCTCAAACTTTTAACACCAAAGCAGACTTTTTTTCATACTTTAATTATCAGTTTGATTGTTAACATTCAAGCTCACATTTTTTCATTATTACAATGAAATACTTTTCACATCCACGCCTCGAAATTCGGATCGTCTCGCCGTAGAATTCACCGCGTGCGCTCGTCTCTCGCAATATATGCAAATGTTAACGATCGCGCGCAATTTGTTATAAGCTCGTTCGTACAACAGGCTCCTCTTCCTCTACTCATCCTCTTCTTCTTTTTTTTTTCCTCTTCCGTACACCGTGCCGCCGACGAGTGAAAAGCGTAAATTAAGTTTCGCGAGAACTTTTTCGAACGCGAGCTCCTCGTTACGTGCTCGGCAAGCTGTAGGCTTCGTCGCGGGTATATAGAAGAACGATGATTCACGCATTATATACATATTTCCTTTGCCGAGCACCGCACCTCGGTTTAAAGCGTTTGTTAGCTCTAATATTTTTTTCTATTCTTGCTCTTGCAAATATAACTTTGAAGATTGTCTTGTGCTTGAAAATTAAGGATTGATCGGTAGCAGCTATTACCGATACAATTTTGAACGATGTTTGTTTTAATTCGGACGTTAATTTTTCTAATTACGGATGATTGATCGACGCGATTTTAAACGACTCATCTAATTGAAATCATATTTCTTATTTCTATTTGTTCGCGCGTAATTACGTTGTCAAACGCTTGTCATCGCCAATCAACACTTAAAAACTCCTTCAGATTTTTAAATTAACGTTTCAGCAATTTGACTGCAAAAAATTGTCGGATTTTCGGGATATAGCCTCTCACCCGTACACATCAAAACGAGATCAAAATCATCATCCTTCACTGTACGTACGTACACTCCAAACACGTACGTACACACGATGATGTTTACCGCATGGACGGCGGCACGCTGAATTATGTATGTAACAGAAAATAACGGCAAAGACACAATGGTATAAAGAAAAGTCGGATAGTTATGTGTATATGTAGTGCAGATTCGTGTATACATACACACACACACACACACTTCCATTTTGTATTTTCTCACGATTTCAAACGGCAAGTGTCGGTTCGCGCGGGCTCACGGGGGAGCTCGGTCGAAGTTTGCACACACCGTTGTCGGCGATGGTGGATAGATCGTTTTCTTTAATAGACACATCTTCGAACATTTTTTTTTGCTTCGTTTCACCCATTCGGCGACATTGAACTCGAACGAATGTCAATTAGTGACTAATTCAATTGTATGTACATTATACATAAAGAATTCATCGGTCGCTTGCTAGATCCTTACTATACTTACAACGATGTATAAAATCCTTTACGATCCGAGACACGACTTACAAGTACGACTTGTGTATTTTTTACGCGTAGGTATTTGCTACATAACATTTATATACGTACAAGATCGTGTGTCATATACACGGCGCAAAGCCGATCTCTCTAGCTCGACGCGACGCGCGACAGGAATCGGTTAATCGAAAGCCTCGGCTGCATATAAAGAAGAAGGAGAAGAAGAAGCGCCAGAAGAAGAAAGTACACGTAATGCTGGAATTGCGCGCGTATTAAATGTGTGTAAATGTGTGTGTGTGCACATACCTACACACACACGTACTCATGTAGGAAATATGAGTACGCGTGTATAGAGCCTACCGTACCTCTATATTATGTATCCGTATGCACATCAAACTGTTTCCGCCAGACTCGCGGCGGCTATCCTTACTACTACTACGTACACAGCAGGTATAGTTCGCGGCGGGCACAGTAGTAGATAGACAGTATGTAGTAGTGGTAGTAGTAGTAGCAGCGTCTAACAGTACTAACGCACTTACATACACCATCTGCTCTATATACATGCATGTATATACCCAAGTACGCGTGTGTATGTGTGCACCATAATACGACCGCAATGCAAACGGCCTCCGCGCGCATATAGTCTAGCTTCTATAGCTAGCTTCAACGTCTTCTGTGCTCACTCAGTCTTGCATTTCTTCTATCTATCTCTCTCTTACGTATGTGTGTGTGTGTGCCCTGTGGAAATCGCGCGAGGCACGACGCGTGTGTGTATTATAACGTGCGCATTCCCGTACGGGTGCAGAGGATCGCGAGGTACTGCTATACACGTATATATGTACGCGCTTTATCGCATATATATATACATTTCGAGAAAATACGCAACGCATGCGTGCCTCGCGCACACTGGATGATAATATACGGCACTTATACTTATCAAAATATGTAAGTACGCATGTGTATATATGGGCTCGCGCTCGATTGCTCAGCTCCGCGGCAGCTCCGATGTACTTATACACCCGTAAAACTCCCTTATACCTGAGAGCGAGGAGAGCTTTCGATTAACTCGTTATGTGTGCAACGGCTCGACTGGCTTTATTTATTTACTTTTTTCGTGTAATCCACTTACTGCATGTATACGTACCAGAGGAATTTCAGATTTATCGAAAAGGTGTGAAAATTTTATCTTTCGCGATCCATTTGCACAACGCTGGAGTCAGATGTAATGTCACTTTCCTCTGGCACTTTTCTTCTCATCAAAGTCGAACGAACGACGGAAGTTTTTTTTTTTTTATGATATTTTCCAGGTTATATGTTATACTTGATGATGATGATGATGCGCTGCTATCGAG